ATATGGGGAACTCCTTCTGAAAGAAATGGTGTTTTAGAATTCAATGACTCTGCTTCCCTGTGAGCCCAGAACATCATTAATGGATTCCAGCAGATGGTCATATAAAATATGGATAGCATACAGAACATTTTTAACATTTAAAATTGTTGTTACTGATAGGAATCAAACCAGCTTCAAATGCTAGCCAACTCAAACAGTGTAGTTCCAAATTTATAGAACAAACAAAAATACAGCCTTCAATCTTATTTAACTGTAACATTGAAAGATCCCTATTAGTTAGGACTCTACTTGTAGCTGCATATGTTAACCCAGAGCCACCAAGCATAGGGTATGACTTAGGAATCTGATTTCCTGCTGCCCCATCTCCTTGTGAGCTCCCAGCTCCCCACGCAGGGACTATCAACCTCCTTCCCCCACCCCACCCTGCCAGAGCTCATCTATAAGCATTATGTTCTGGGACTGCCATAGAAAGGCACCATGTGCTGAGTGCTTTAAACAATAGAAATTTGCTTTCTTGAAGTTCTGGAGGCCAGAAATCCAATATCAAGGTCTCTCTCCTTGTCTTGTAGATGGCCATCTTCTCCCTGTATTGTCGCATGATCTGTGTGTGTATGTGTGTGTGTGCATGTGCCCCCAGTTAGTTGGTGTTTCTTTTTCTCTCCTTCATGCTCTTCCCATGCCACCCCCTGACTCCCCACATATCCCCGCTGCCACTTCCCTCCTTCTTATAAGGACACAAGTCAGATGGGATTAGGGCCCACTCTTGTGGCCTATTTTAACATAATCACCTTTTTAAAGGCCCTGTCTTCAAATATAAGTCACATTTTTAGGAACTGGGGTTAGGGCTTCAAGGTATGAATTTGGGGAATGCTATCCAACCCATAATAGTTCCCACCACTGCCCCCCACTCAGTTCCTAAGAGAAGGCCTCTTCCTCCTGAGAAAGTCAGATCATCTTTGGTAGACGCCCTCTCTCCTTCCCTCTAAGCCTCGACTTCCCAGCAGCCCAGGGTGAAGGAGGGCAGGGACTCTGTGGCTTGGCCAGTCATGGGAGTCCACAGTTGGCTTTTCCATGCTCTTCCTCTCTAGCATCTTTATGTTCTCCTACCCTCTCCCCTAAGTCCTGGCCTTCTGTCTTCTAACCTGTCCTCTTCTCTCACTTCAGGAGAGTCTTTGGCTTGGCATTTCCCATTCTGTCACCCTAGTCCTCTTCTCTTTTGGAGCCCCTTCCCACAGTCTGTCCTCCACCCTTCTGTGGTGGTATTCCTCCTACTAGTCTCAGGTGCTTCCACAGACCCATCTCCATGCAGCTCCTCACGGGGAGCCCCCACCTGGGATCAGACCTGGCCCCTTCTCATCTTTCATCTCATTCCTGCCCCCAAACAACCAACCCAGCTTCACAGTTCCCTCGTTGATCACAGGTTTTATTCTGAAAGCTTTCTTTTCTGGTCTCCACCAACCTCTCTCTAGAATTCTGATCCTGGGCTTCTAGCCTACATACACATTGATTCTTTCATCCACCAAATTCACTTGACTAAGCCAAACATATTTTACTCCTAGATACCATATTCCTTCAAAATAATTTTCCCCATCTATCTAAGCAAGAAACCTTAAAGTAATCCTTCTACCTCCCTCTGTTTCTCAATTGTATTATTTTTTTCTGTGTGAGCCCTGATCAGTGCCTTCTGGGATTAGGCAGTGGCCTCCTAACAGGATACCCTTGTCTTCCAGGTGCCAGAACCACCTGTAGGGGACTTTGAGCCCAGTCTAAGGGAAGTTTCTGTGAGAACTCCCTATTCACAAGGACAAAGGCCTAACTCTCAAACTTGGCATTTGAGACCAGCACTGTCCTGTACAACTTTCTGTAATGGTGAGAGTGTTCTGTCTGCACAGTGTGAGAGCTATTACCCATGTGTGGCTCTTGAGCACTCTAAATGTGACTAGTGTAACATGGTAGCCATATTTTTAATTTTCTTTGTGACAATATCTTCACACCATTGGACTCTGTTACCAGCCCTGCCCTCAAGACACCCTCCACCATACACCACCCTGCTCTCCGCTCAAAGCCCTGTCTGCTGCTGACCTGGGAGCTCTTCCTTCCCTAGTCCCCAGGTCCTTCTCATGCCCCACAGCCTTTTGACCAGGTCCCCAGCCCACAGTGTTGTGTCTGTCTTCTGCGTAAACAACCACACTGACTAGCACATTTTTAAAATTATTATCTCTGTTTAACTTTTCTTTTTGTTTTAGTCAGCTCTTTCGCTGCTGTGACTAAAAGACCCCACCAGAACAATTGTAGAGAAGGAAAAGTTTATTTAAGGGCTCACAGTTTCAGAGGTCTCAATCCGTAGACAGTGGGCTCCATTCCTCAGGGCCTCAGGTGAGGCAGGAACAACATGGCAGAAGAATGTGGCAGAGGAAGCTCACATGGTGATCAGGAAACAGAGAGAGAGAGACTCCACTTGCCAGGTGCAAATATATATCCCAAAGCCACACCCCAGTTCCCACCTCCTCTAGCCACACCCTAATACTTCAGTTATCACTCAGTGAATCCCTATCAGGGGATTAATTCACTGATTGGGTTAAGTCTCTAACAACCTAAATTATTTCTCTTCTGAACTTTCTTGCATCGTCTCACCCATGAGCTTTTGGGGGACACCTCACAATCAAACCATAACCTTTTGAAATAATTTCAGACTTTGAGAAAAATTACAAAATGAGTACAAATAATTCTTACATACCCTTCATTCAGATTCCTCAGATATTAACATTTTACTGTTTAGTTTTTCCTATGTCCTTTCCCTCTCTTTTTCTCATCTCTCTCCTTACCTCCCCCCCCACATATACATATACATACATGTATATACATATACTTATGTTTTATGAGCAGTTTGAAAGAAAGTGGCATCCATAATACTCATACACGTCAATATTTCAGTGTGGATTTTCCCTAAAAACAGGGATAATTTCTTATAAATACACAGTTTGATGGTTAAAATAGGAAACTAACACTGATACAATACCATTATCTTATTTATTGACCTTATTCAAGTGTTGCCAAATGTCCTATAAATATCCTTTATGGCAAAAGGTTTAAAAACAAGACATAAAAAAAGCCCTTCCAGCTGTATACACATCCTAATAGTCAGGGCGTTGAAGATAAGCCTTGACTAAGATTACATAGTTTGGTTTGCCCCCAAAACCCCGGCAGGAGTGTACTGGTTGGCATTTGCCTGGCACATAGAAGACCCTCTGATTTGGGAGAAGGGTGGATGGAGAATTAGCGCAGTGAGCCAGGGTGAACCTGGGGAAGCAGGCCTCGACCTGGGCCTAGCCACGTAGTTGTAGCCATCAGCTCCGTGTTCTCAGGGTGCTTCTGTTGGTTTGCCTCCTTTGGGCAGCCATCCTGGGGAATTCAGTCAGGTGGCAGGCTCTTCCCTCTGTAGAAATGCATGGCTCATCTTTCATGCAGTTAGCTAAGCTGCCTGTGGTCACCAGCAGCTCCACAGCCAGCCCAGGACATGGTGCTGATGCTCTGTAGTCCTCAGAGGTGAAGCTACATAGTTGTGTAATTGTTAAAAGTAACTCACTCAAACAGTTATCAAGGGCCTAATGTGTGCCAGGCACACTGGGTATGTGGCAGTAAGCAAAGAAAAATCCTTGCCCTCAGAAAGCGTACACTTTAGTGGGTGGGAACTGCTAACAGCAAATAAGTATATGGCTAGTCACATGGTACCTGGAGGGGATAGTTCCTCAATGTAGAGCTGGTAAGGAGGTCAGAGGCTGCAATTTGTAGAGAGTGGCAACGGACAGTCTCATGGGTGAAATGGCTTTCCCATTTTTTTTATTAAGGTGTAATTTCCCTGTAGTAGTCTTCATCCTTTCAAGTGCACAGTTCTGTGAGCCTTGACAAACTTGTATAATCACATGATGACTACCCCAGTCCAGATAAGAATTCTGTCGCCTCTGTGCCCTTTGATAGTCAGCCCTCCCACCCCATCTCTGGCAGCCATTGATCTGTTCTCTGTCCTTATAGTTTTGCCTTTTCTAGAATATCATATACATAGAATTACACAGCACAAAACCTTTAGAATCTGGTTTCTCATAGCTGTAATTCCTCCGTGTTGTATGTACCCACAGTTTGTTCCTTTTTGTTGGTGAGAAGTATTTCATTGTATCACTGTTCCATGACCATCCATTCTCCAGTTGAGGGACACTGGCATATCTTCTGATTTGGGCAGTTATATATATGGCCACTGTAAGCTTCACAAGCAGGTGTTTGTGTGCATGTACATTTACAGTCACTTCAATAATATGGTTAAAGGACTTTTGAGCAAAGATCCGAAAGAGATATGAAAACAAGCTATGAAAATAGTTGAGGATATGTCTGCCTATGTACCATATTACTTGCCTATGTACCATATTACTTAGCCAAGTGGATAGATTTGTACTGTACAACTTTTCTTTTTGAGTCATTTTTCTTATTTGAGTTATTTAGAGAAAGTAGGGTAGGAAGAGAGGATGCCATTCATTCATTGATCTATTCAACAAACATTAAAAAAAAAAAAAAAAAAAAGAAGCCACCAGTCCACAGTCTGTGACCCAAAGGAAGCCTGGGATCCTTGGATCCACACCAAAGGCTAATTTTAGTTGCTTTATCTGACATAATTTCCTCTATGGCAGTTTCCTGAAAGTTAGGGTAAGAGAGTAGTTTGTCAGTTTGGGGTTATCTTCTATGAATAGGACTATGGCTTCAGCATTTTTTGAGTTTTTTATCTCATTGGAGGCTCCAGGGACTCTTCCAGAGGCCCCTGAGAACTCACGTCCATTTGATTATGAGGTTGTTTGTAGGAGAAGCTCAGGGAGATGTCTGGAGAGACATATTCAAATGAGGGTTCCCCCCAGATGAGGGGCCAGTGGGCAAGACAGCATCCTCCCAGGATTCAGGGGCTTTGTGGAAAAACAGAGCAGACAGAAAATAACTTGTGAACATTTTCATTTCAGGTGATGCAACTGTGAAAAAGAAACCTGCCCCCAAGACACCTCCGAAGGCAGGTAATTAGTCACAGCCCCACCTGGGGCCAGGCAGTCATCTGCCAGGGGGCTTTCCTTTACCCTACTAGACTGGCCTACTGGGTATAAGATCAGAAGACCCTTCCTCAGTTCAAACTCTACATTTATCAAGCGGAATCTGCTCCTTGAACAGGGCCTCTGGCCAGCCTGGTGCCTGGGCCTCTTTCCTGCTGCATCCTTCCCTTGTAGACATAGCAGCTCTCTCATCCCTTCAGCGAAATTCTGCCACACCCTCCGCCCTCTGCTCTGCCCCCATGTGGAGGACCCACTTTGTGCTGCTTCTGTTTCGTACTCTGATATGTCTTTGTTTACAGACTCCCTGACTGTTCTCCACGGAAGGGTGTGAAGTGCATTGATCCTGTCAGCTAGATGGTCCAGGAGTCAGATGGCAGGGCACTAGCAAATTAATAACTGAATGAGTTAAGCCTGGTGAGGAGCACTGGGCACAGGGGCTGCAATTTGTAGAGGGCGACTAGGGATGATCTCATGGGTGAAATGGCTTCTTCCCACTTTTTGTATTAAGGTGTAATTTCCCTGCAGTATTCTTCACCCTTTCTAGTGCACTGTCCTGTGAGCCTTGACAAACTTGAACAATCACATGATGACCACTCCATTAGCTCCAAACCCACGAACAGTCTCCTGTAGAATGTAGGGTATAAGATGTAGATTCAAACAACTGGGGTGAGATGCAAATTCCAATGTGACCAATAAGTGGAGAATTATGGCATATAAATTGTGTGGGTCACACCAAAGGAAATCAGGATAAAGAAAAGAATAAACCTAGCTTGTCCCTGAGCTCAGATATTCTGGAACAAGGGTCAGCGCCCTCAGTGTTAGCCTGAGGGTTCTGGAAGGCAAGGGAGGAGCCAGCATCCCAGCATAGATAGTAAGTGACATCAGTGAGGCCAGAAGGCCTGGGATCTCCTCCATCTTGCTCATTTTCTGCCTGTCCTCTCTAGCTATGCCTCCTCAGATCATCCAGTTTCCCGAGGACCAAAAGGTGCGTGCAGGAGAGTCGGTGGAGCTGTACGGGAAAGTGACTGGCACCCAGCCCATCACCTGTACCTGGATGAAGTTCAGAAAGCAGGTCAGTAACAGGAGGGGGTGGCCTGAAGACAACTCATAGCCCCTGAGCCAAAAGGAGTGAGAAATGTTTTTCATCAGTTTAGAGAGACACCCCCCCGACACACACCTACCCATCATCCACCCACCAAACCTAAGTTTTACTAACAGTTTCTTCCAAGTTTACCAAAATCCCTGCTTTATAGATAATTTGTAAAATAAAACTACTCGTGGGTCTCATCCCATCATGGTATCTGCCTAGAATCCCATTCAGAGTCAGGAAAATTAAACCAAGACCTCAGATGACGGCTCAGATACCATGAGCTCTGTGTAATCCCGTACTAGTCTGCTGATTCCTTCTGTGATAACGGCTTAAACTTGCCACAGGCTGAAAAAATCAAGGTGTTCAGAGAGTAAATTATATATTGAATAGAATTTTGGCTCTCAGACTAGGACTTACAATGATGATTCCTGTGGAAAAGTGTTTTGAATTTCCAACGAGCTTTTAAAAGAACTTGGGGGACCCAGCCTTTCCACCACTGCCGCATGGGTAGTGTGTGCCCATGTGTGTGATCAGCAGAGGTCCTGGAATGGTGGGCTGGCTCTGGATCAGGAGCCCTACAGAAGGTCTTCTATTGCTCATTTCCATGCCATTCAAATTGCTCTAGGCTCAGCAATAAGCTGCTAGTATCAGGGAGGACTGTAGGATGGGAATCAGAGATGGAGACGGAAAGCTGGCCTTTGGCATCCCAAGGGGACATCGGCCCTGGCTTGTCTGGGCTACTATTATCTGAAATAAGACAGAATATCATCCCTTTTCAGAGACACCTGGCCAAGTCCCAGCTCTGTCCATCAGTGTTGGGAATGTTCTGTGTCTGTGCTGAACACAGAGGTGCCACTGTCCCTGTGTGGCTGTTGAGCAGTGAGGTGTGGCTAGCATCCAAGGAACTAAGTTTTTGATTTCAACTAATTAAAGATTGTTAAACAATTTTGTTGAGATATAATTCATGTAGTATAAAAATTCATCCTTTTAAAGTATACAATTCAGTAGTTTTGACAGATTCCTAAGGTTGTACAAGCATCATTATCTAATCCTCACCCTTACTCACTTTAAGTTCCAGGCTCATCAGCAGCCATTCCTTCCCTTCCTCCCGCCTCTGACAATGCTACCCTGGGTTCTGTCACCATACACTTGCCTATTCTGGACATTCATTTAAGTGGAATCAGACAATATATCACCTTTTGTGTCTGGATTTTGTGTGTGTGTGGTGCTGGGGATTGAACCCAGGGCCTCACACATGCTAGGCAAGTGCTATAACACCAATCCCCACCCCAGCCCTTCTTGTAGGGAGATGGGTCCTGGGGATTGTACCCATGGGTGTTTCACTACTAAACTATATCCCCAGATTTTAAAATATTTTTTAAAATATTTTACTTTGTGACAGGGTCTTGCTAAGTTGCTGAGGCTAGCCTCGAACTTGCAATCCTCCTGCCTCAGCCTTCCAAGTTGCTGGGCTTACAAGTGTGCACCACCAGGCTTATCTTAGATGTTTGTTTGTGTTTTCTTTCTTAGCGTAAAGTTTTCAAAGCTCGCCAATGTTGTAGCATGAATCAGTACATTATTTCTTTTTATAGATGAATAATAAAGACCACATTTTGTTATCCCATTCATCAGTTGATGGATATTTGATCTGTTTCCACTTCATTGAAACTTAAATAGCCACGTGTAGATCTCAGCCACTGCATTGGTCAGCACAGCAGAGGCGGGAGCCCACTAGGGTGTGTTTTGTGGCTGCCCTGGCTCAGATGCAGTCTATCATCCCACCCCGGAGTGGTAGCAAGAGACTTGTCCCCTCCTGAGCTAGCTGAGATAGATTGTCCACCATGCCCATCCCTGACCTGGACACCCTCAGGGAGCCTGAGGTGGGAGAGGAGGGATTTAGGGGGAACTCAGAGACAAGATGGAGCCCCCCACAGCTTGTCCAGCAGTGTCTCTTGGAGTAAGAGCCAGGGAGGAGCCCTCTTCCTTTCCTGGCCCAAGTCTCCAGCGGCTGCTCCACCCTCCATCACCAGATCCAGGAGTCCGAGAACATCAAGGTGGAGAACAGCGAGACTGGCAGCAAGCTCACCATCCTGGCTGCACGCCAGGAGCACTGCGGCTGCTACACGCTGCTGGTGGAGAACAAGCTGGGCAGCAGGCAGGCCCAGGTCAACCTCACTGTCGTGGGTGAGTCTGGACACTGGGTGGCATGGAGGTTGGGGGATAGGGTAGGCTGTGAGCCCAGGCGGGATGCCCAAACCTCAGGATCTCACCACGGTCCCATCTTTCTCTTTGCCCATGGCCTTTGTCCCCTAGCCTCCCCTTTCCTAGCTCTTACACTATTTCTGTCCTTCAAGCTGGCGCAGAGCTCTAGACCCTGCCCTCACCCCCACCCCCAGCACCATTTCTTCCTATGAGGCCCCTCCTGGCTTCCCCATCTTTCTGAACACTGGAGATCCTGGGCCCCTCCACTTCTCACTCCCTCCTGATGGCCTTTAATGCCTTCTCCTTCGTGTCTGCTACCATCTGTGTCCCCTTAAAAAATCCCCACCTGGATTCAGTGCTCCCTTCCAACTTCACTGCTCCTGGGTCTGACTTCGGGATGCCACAAACTCAAGGTTAGACTCCAGGCTCAGCTAAGACAGTGCTGTCCTTGTCTCTGGCCAGCATTGTTTCTCAAGCTCCTCCCCCCGCAGGCCTCGGCCTCTCACTCTGAGATCCAGGACATCAGGCATGAATTTCCTCAACTTCGTGATCCCATACCTCCAGGAGTCTACTTCTGTCCCACCATTACTTCACCCTCCAGGCTCTGGGGTGGCCCACCTTGGTTGCACTTGAGGCTGCCCCCTTATCCTGTGCTCTAGATCCCAGGTTCTTGGAGATCCACCTCCCTGCTTCTCCTTTATATTCCACCTCTCTGCTCTACTGATTTCTCCCACAGCCCACAGATGTGGCCATCTTAGCCAAACACACAGGCATGTAATATTTCGTCTTGCTGTAGTCCCCTGCCCCCCATCTTCCTCTCCTGTCTCCCATCACCCCTTTGGGCGAACCCTTTGCAGGGTCAGCTTCTTCACCCCTAGCGCTCTTCAGCCCCTCACACCTCACCCCCATACTCCATTAGTCTGCGGGGCCTGCTCTTCTGAGAGTCCTCCTAATCCGAACTCCCTTTTCCTCATCTCCAACACCCTGTAATAAGTTGAGTCCCTTTCCAGACCGATTCTCAACTCATCTTCCTCTTTCCTAATCAGTTTTCAAGCCCTGGCCAGCTCTCTCCTAAAACACCAAAATCACTCTCTTAACTGCTCCTCACCATTAGCCATGCTCAGCTCCATCAGTCTTGGCTTTTCAAGGGGCAGGTGCTCAGCACAGCAGAGGAACAAACAGATGAAGGAGCGACAGGTGGAGAGTAGACCGTGTCTTGTGCCTGTGTGGGCCTTTGCATGTTGAGCTCATGAAAGCCTTTGAACTGGTGTTCACTGATGTATTTAATGAGACTTGTTGTCGGTTTTGCATTTGTTCTTGGCTTTCAAGTTTATGGGGTACTTTTGTGAAAATTAGAAAAAGAAACCCCCTGGGCAAAGTGTAAATGCTGCACCCTTAGGGTTCATGGCTGGGCCTCAGGGAGCAGAGGTTGACCTCAACCCCTCCGCTGGACCCTTATGCCATGCACAAAATTCTCAACTGTGCATTACCCTTAACTTTGACTAGTCCTGCTAGCTAGACTTCCCCATGTGTGTTCCTGGTGCACACACCAATGGGCATGCAGAACATGCATGTTCTGCATGTTCTGAGAACAGGACTCATGTGGCTATAGTGCTTGGAACTCTTCCCCTGGAATCTCTCTATGGAAGTATCCAGACATTAGGTTGGAAGCTGGAGAAGGGGACTCTAAAGGACTTTTGTAACCCCGACATTCTATGGTGCCCTGACTTGGATCCCAATTGCCCTTCTTCATCCTCATCTCATATGCTTAGGACTTAGGACTTAGGTGGACAGGGATGCTTCCAGCCTTACCGAGGGGAAACGGAAGACTGGTAACAAATAACAGTGCATCAGGGACCACATGGAAGCTGGATCTTGAGCACTCAGATACCTGTCCTCCAGATACTACTTATGGGTGTGTGAATGGGTACAGAATGTCCCCAAATATGAAGGAAGCCTCTGTCTAGAAAATTCATCTAGAGGGTGATGTGCAGGCTTTTGGAGAAACGTCCGCATACCAGGAAGGTGCTGACATCAGTTCCCCCATTTTTTCCACACTGAGCCTTGGGAAACCCTGCCGCATCTCCCTCCAGGACCTGAGCAGCTGGGGAAGAGGGAGTCTTTTCCACCCAGGTGAATAGGGAAGATAGGAGGACAAAGGACAAAGGTGGGGAGACAAGTGGCGTGGCCAATGAACTTGCCCAAAGCACATACTAGAACAGACCATGGGTTGCAGACCCAGTGAGGCTCCCTAGATGGGAAGAACCCCCTAGAAGACCACTGGACACCAGGGTCCCAGGAGAGAGGATTCACCCCGTCTGGTCTGCATTTCTCTGTTTGCCTTCTCTCCTGCCCTCCCCTCCCCATGCCTCTGTCTCTGCCCATGCTCTCCTCCATCTACTTCTGTCATTCTGGCCCATTTCCCCTTTTCCTTTTCTTCCTCTGACCCCTTTGATTCCTTAGGTCAGGAGTTTGGGATCTGAGAGGAGAATGGGTTCCTCATTCCTAAAGGGGGAAAAGGATCCTCTCCTCACTCTTTCTCTCTTTTGCGACTCCAGGTGCTTATTTCCTTAATTTCCCCCAAGGAGTCAGGAACTTTGGGGGATTGGTCCCGAGAGCTGTATGTTTAGAGCAGTATCTGAAAGTTGGCTTGGCCCTGCTCCCGAGTCCTATCAGCCAGCATCAGCTTCCACTCTTCCTTGGTGTTCCTGCTCATCTGTCCTGCTTGGGTAACGGGGCTCAACAGCTTTGAACTGTTTTTCTGGAACCAGCGCCCCCACCCCCATCCTGGCCACCCCCGCGTGGTGCCATACACTCCCCTCCTCCATCCCCACTGCATGGGCTACAGTTGTGCCCTTTTATGGTTGAGTTTCTTATTCTCCGTGGCCAGTGCTGACAGGGCCATTGGTGTGGCTGCCCGCCAGCTGGCAGAAGTAGCATGCTAAATGCCGTCCTGGGAGGGGAATGGAATGGAGAGCAGGGCTTTCTGTCTGCCTCCCCCTCGCAGGGCTAAGAATAGAATTGCTCAATAAAATGAGGACTTGCATTGATGGGAGCAGCGAAGCCGCATTCATTCAGGGCCCATGAATTTAGAATTAGTCCAAAATAAACCAGGACTAAGCTGATTTACCTGTGTGTATCCAGGGACAGCTGTGTATTATCTCATCAGCGTTTATTAAGTAGACGTGAAATGTAAATGAGATAAAACAGGAATTGCTCGGCCTGCTCCGGACAGTTTTCAAGCACTTTAGAAGCATCTATTTACCGGCCAACTAAATAAGGCCAGTTCAATGCAACTTCCACTTGTTAGCAGTAAACTTCTTTTATGGCATGTTCTTTGAAGAACTAGTTTCTTTGCAGATATTCTATTATTCCTATTTTTAAAACAATAATAAAAACTAGCCTTTCCCTCAGTTAGTTTCAATGAGTGATGCTTAGCTATTTTGGAGGCTTATTATTATTTTAAGAGGCAGCCCAGGAATTTGAGATGCTCTGTCTCTTCCTGCCCCTGACCCCTGGTCTGCTGCCTGAGGGAGGAGGGAGGGCTGTTCCAGGAGGAGGGAGTGAGCCGCAGATCCAGATGGATTCCTTACCTTCACTCACCCAGCACCAGAAAAATAGGTCTCTTTGAATAACTTTAAAAGAGAAAAAACAAAACAGAGAGAACCCCAAATGCCCAATAATCCCCAAATACCATCTGAGTTTGGAACTTGCATGATTTACAAGAGATTTCCCTTCATAATGCCTGGCTTGAGCTAAGTAAAATGCTTTCTTGATCTCCTCCTACCCTAGCCTGGAAAGTACCAAGCCCTGAAGCAGGGTCCTGAGGCTTTGTGGAATCTCCTTTTGGCTCTGTCCCTGACTAGCTGGGTTTCCTTGGTGAGCAGAGTGCCTTAGCCTCTGAGGGTGAGGATGATCCATGTAGATGACCATGGGGGGCCCTGCCAATAGCTGCTGGATTCAGCACCAGTGGAAAGATGTCCAGGCAGGTTAGGCCCAGCCACAGATGGACTTCACATGGGCACCCACAGAGAGGGCAAGGGCAGATTCTCCAGTGGGAAGCTTCACAGACAGGATCCTCTGTTTTCCCCAGAAATAAGAACATTTGCTGAGCACAGAATCCTGAAGCTGGTACCATGAGGGACCCTTTTCTTAGAAGCAATTCCCATTCTGTCAGTCAAGTCTCCAGGGAAGCCTGGGAGAATTCTGAGGAAGTGTGGGGCTCCTGGCCGCAGACACTGAGCCAGCCACCCCTTGGCCAGGCGCTGCCCAGCACGTCTTTCCCACACTGTGTCTGTCTTTGGCGTGGAGGCTTATGGGAGCATGCTGATCCATCCTGAGGGTTCTCACCTCTGGCCAGCTCAGCCTCTGTGTGGGGTCTGTAGGTACAAAGAACAGAAAACATGAGGCACAGCCTGTGGCTCTAAGGAGGCTCCCAATCTTGTAAGACTTCAGAGCTGGGTCTTTTCTGACCCTCTTCATTGGGCACCAATTATGTGGTGAAGTTTCACTTGGAATTAAACCCTCCCTCCCCAAATTTTGTATCTTCTCTTGTGCTATAGGAGGTGAACTATATACTAAGTAAGTTAGAGACCCCTGTAATAGGAAAGGTCCAAATACTACCTCTGATACAATGCTCATTCCTCCAACTTGTCTTTTCTTGGTCAAAACAGAAGGGAGAAAATTTGCCCATGGAGTGTATCTGCATTCAGGGACACCCTCCATAACCAGCTGTGTCCAGTCACATGTCTCCCAGGCACTGGGGTAGGGCACTGAGCGTTTCATCTCTCTGTAGGCTTTTTTACTTCCTTAGCTGGTCTTGAGAAGACTTGAACCACTTGCTGCTAAGAGAGTTTAGAGTAATAAACATCTTAGCCAACACCAGAAATGTTTCTAAAAAGACCAATATATCTTTCAGAACAAACAGTTTTTCTAAGAGAACATATTAAACAACCAGTGAAAGTGGTTCCATCACACGTCTCCAGCATGGCTGCAACACTGGGAAGTGGCTCTGACAAGCTCCCAGAATCATTCTCAGGGCAAGATCCAGGTTTGGGTTGTTGGGGACAGATTTGGATTTTGAGCTGGAATGTGAAGAAGCAGAGCTGGGGAGGGGCGAGAACGACTATGTAAATATAAGAATATGTATTTGTATGTGTGCATCCTTGTGTACGTACACACAAGCAGAGTTTTCTTCCCTCTGCCTGGTCACGGGGTCATTTGCAGGAATTCCCTTTGGCCTTCCCGTCTAGCTGGGGTGGGAGAGTAGAAGTCAAGTAGTTTACTTGTCTGCATTTGTTTCCACGATCCTTGCAAAAACCCCTAAGAGATAGGTACATATTAACACCATTTTCCAAATGAGAAAGACAGACAAACAGGTCTCAAATTTACTAGGGTTCACATATTTATAAATCCACATAGCATTGTTTAAATTGCCAGTTTGTGAGGCTCCATGAACTCAAACTGTACTCTGGGGATGAGGGGATTATCTCTACTTAACACACATATCTGTAACCAACCATCTACAGAAACTAAATCTGAAAAATAGGAGTTTTGTTCAGATATGCAACTAACAACAACAACAACAACAAATCATCAAAACTCAAGAATCTCATTAAAGTGTTAACTACCATGGTTTGACCTAAAATTGGCAGCCTTACTGGTTCTGAGCCCAGATCACCTGAAGGGAAATGCTGGCTAGCCCAGAGGGCCACTTCTTATTAGTGTCCTCAGCCTTATTTCCTGTCCCTTAGTCAGGAATCGCTGGGATTTGCTATTGCAGTTCGCTTTTGAAATTCTTTGTGTCATTATACACCAATCCTATGAGAACAGAGAGGGAGAGCAGGGACTGGAGGTGTAGCTCTGTGGTACAGCGCATGCTTAGCATGCATAGGCAGGAGGCCCTGACTTCAATCCCCAGCACCAAAAGCAAAGCAAAACAACAACAAAACAAAAGAGGTAGGTAGGGGTGATTTGTTGTGTGCTATAAAATTAGAACAAAACTCCTGTAACAGAGATAGCAATGACTAGTCAAGGACTTCCTAAGAACTTCTCACAACAACCTTGTGACTCAGATGCTATTACTATCTGCATTATCCCAATGAAGAAACTGAGGCAGAGCAGTTAAAAGCTACCGGAGCAGGTCTGTGTTCCAACCTGAATCTGTGTGACTTCAGAGCTCAACCACTATGGTATCTGGTCCCTCTGTGGGGTGGATGTTTCTCAAGTTCTAGAGAAAGTGGAGGCAGACCTTTGGTTATGTCACAGGTCACTGGCCTCTGACATGAAGGACACACACACACCCTCAACTCTCGCCCAATACATATTTTTGATGGGAAATAGTCCACGCCTCCTAAGCAGCTTCCTCAATCTGTTTACTCTGAAAAATATGTTTATGACTTGAGCAGACTACAGGAAATCATGACTTGTCGTTTGGAAAATTAGCCAGAAAAAGTTTTTTTCCAAGCAAGTAGGTATGTGTGGGGCTTTCTGTGCTGTCGATGAGAAATGAGAACCAGAATAGGTCCCTCCACGTGGATTCACAAGGCTGCTTCTCCCCACAACAGAGCTAATTCAAGAATGTTCTTGGGCTGGGGATGTAGGTCAGTGGTAGAGCACTACATGTGCCTACATGTGGGAGGCCCTGCACCATCCCCAGCACCATAAAAAAGAGGAGGAAAAAGAATGTTTTTCCCTGCAGCTCTGGAGAGTTTGGGTGATATTTGCTTCTCTAATCCCCAGATAAGCCAGACCCCCCAGCTGGCACGCCTTGCGCCTCTGATATCCGGAGCTCCTCGCTCACCCTGTCCTGGTACGGCTCTTCATATGATGGGGGCAGTGCCGTACAGTCCTACAGTGTTGAGATCTGGGACTCAGTGGACAAGACGTGGAAGGAACTAGCCACATGCCGCAGCACCTCTTTTAACGTCCAGGAACTGCTGCCTGACCGCGAGTACAAGTTCCGCGTGCGAGCAATCAATGTCTACGGAACCAGTGAGCCGAGCCAGGAGTCTGAGCTCACAGCCGTGGGAGAGAAACCGGAGGGTAGGCTACTCCACCTTTTGCCCATTTGAGATGAGTGTGCATGAATGAGCTTAAGTGTGTAAAGACTGTGCCGAGAGGGGTGCACAGGAAGGATGAAACATGAGCGATGGCTGGTGGGGCCTTTCGTGGCCTTGATTTCTAAGGTTGTGATGCTGATTCATACTTTTAAAGAAGTACATAGGACCTTTGAAAAGTCATTGAGCCTGTGGACTGGGGCAGTGGCTTGGATTTGGATTGTTTGCCTAGCATGCGCCAAGCACTGGGTTTGATCCCCTAAACTTTAAAAGAAACACATTGAACCAGCAATTTTAGTACTGTGCCACCATCGGGTGATAGTGTCGGGACTTGGGATGCAAAGACAGATAAGACAAGGAGCTTCAGTCTAGGGGGACAGATGTATATACAGCCAACTACAATGAGATAGGGTACATCTTACTGCAGTGTTACAAACAGAGCTGAGGGAATGTGGCAGAAAGCATGGAGAATTTATCTTGCAGACTGGAGGTTTCCTGGAGGAGGTGACACTTCAGCCATGTCTTGAAAAAGGGATTAGGATTCCAAGAGGCACGGAAGGCATGATCAAGGGCAGGAAGTGATGGAAGTGGTGGGCTTTTGGAGAAGCTGGTGTGTAGCCAGGGCATACGTTGTGTGAGACAGAAGAGGAAGTAAGATAAAAGGCAGTTTAGGTAAAGTTGTAAAATTCATCAAAAATTTTCAGCAGGGGATTGAGAAGATGCCATCTGTGGACCAGCAGCCTTGGCATCCTGGGAGCTTGTTAGACTGCAGACTCTCGGCCCCAACACCTCAGACCTTTGGAGTCTTTGTTTTATGGGATCCACTTCTCAGAGATTTGTGTGCTCATCAAAGTTTGAGAAGCCCTAGGATGGAGGATGAGTGATAGGGAGGAGATTGGAGTCTGCCAGGTACCAGATGGGCCTCTGTGGGGTCGTCCAGAAGAGGGATGAGAAAGGCATGAAGGAAAGCCTCAGGAGCTAGAATGGGCCATTCCTGATATCCTTTTGGTTCGAGAGTTGAGGGGAGAATTAGAAGAGTCTAAGGTGACTCGCAGTTCCTGGCTGGGTAACTGAGCACAAATTCAAGAGCCAATTAGAGGTTTATTATTGTGAGTCATCGTGGCTGATGTACATTGAGCACCTGCCATGTATTAATATGCTAATCACTTTACATGCATCATTTCATTCAGTCCTAGTAAACCAATGAAGTAGATTCTGTCATCATACCCATCTTACAGGCAGGAAATGAGGGTTAGCAGGGTGAAGCTGCTTGCCCAAGGTCACAAAGCTTGTGAAAGGTGAGTGGAAGCTTGAACTGAGAGCCATCTGGCCTAAAGCCTGTAATCCTTTGGCCAGACCAAGGGAAGAGTAGGGCTTGGGGCAGGAAAGGACATGGAGGGCTGGGCATGGTGGTGCACACCTGTAATCTCAGCAACTCAAGAGGCTGAGGCAGGAGGATGGCGAGTTCAAAGCCAGCCTCAGCAATTTAGCAAGGCCCTGGGGCTTGAGTGACTTGGAGGTTAGATAACAGGGAGTACTGGAGGAGATGGGGGCTCCCGTTTCAGACAGGTTGAGTTGAAAGACATCCAAGAGAAGGGGACTTAAGATTACTGAGTCCAAGACTCAGGAGGAAGGTTAAGCAAGGGTTGCACATTTGGGAGTCTCCACTGTTTAACTGATAACTGAAGCCAGGGGTATTGATGAGATCACCCAGAGGAAGACAGAGAAAGTTTACACCAATAGCATGCTGCAAGAGTCTGCAGGACCAGGAGAAAGGATTGGGAGAGGAGAGAACTAGGAGGAGGTTGGAGTCCATTGTAAAAGCAGGGGAAGGAGCAAGTTAAGAAATGTTAAACTGAAAGAGATGAAGGATCAGAAGGATCTTTGGATTCAGCCCTTTGGTTGGTAGTAAGCTTTGAGATCAAAGTCCATAGAGTTTCCACAGGGTGAAAAACTGGTTGTCCTGGTTAGGAAATAGATAGAAGAAAGAGAGGCCAAGAATGTGGAACATTATCTCAAGGAGTTTTGTGGGAAGAGCAGGAAAGGTGTGCCGTGAAGTTAAGATTCAGTTAGGGTTGGGGGCAGTAAAAGATGTGGAGGGCCAGGCATGGTAGTGCGCATTTGTAATCTCAGCAACTCAAGAGGCTGAGGCAGGAGGATCATGAATTCAAAGCCAGCTTCAGCAATTTAGAGGCCTAAGCACTCAATGAGACCCTATCTCATTTTTTAAAATTATTTTTTAGTTATAGATGGACACAATATCTTTATTTTATTTTTATGTGGTGCTGAGGATAGAATTCAGTGCCTCATGCATGCTAAACCAGCACTCTACCTCTGAGCCACAAACCCAGCCCTAACTAAAACATTTTTTAATGGGGCTGGGGATGTCGTTCAGTGGTTAAACACCTCTGGGTTCAATCCCCAGTACAAAAAAAAAGAAAGAAAGAACATGGACAGATACAAGGGATTATGCTCATGGGGAGAGCAGAGCTTAAGAGTGTGAGGCAGAGACATTTGTGGGAGACTCAAGTGCCAAAGGAGATGGGGAGGGAGCTCTCCTAGAAGTAACCAGACACATCATGAGTGTGGAAGTGTCCTTACCTCTCTTGAATTTTAAAAATTGGGAATAAAAATTGGCAACCTCAGTTTCCTAACCTCATAAATTTTCACTTTCTATTTAAAAGAGGGTTCCAGAAAGAAAGACAGGAGACACCAATGGAAAACATACTGACTTCGCTCTGTCACCCCAGCAGCCTGTGTGCTAGGCACCGTTACCCCTGAGCTCCAGGGAGGCACCTGGGCAGCTCCTGAGAGCCTCAGCTGGCATCAGGTTCTGTTGGGGGAATCTGAATAACAAAACCACCCTCTGCCGCCCTCTTACACCCCTCCCCACATCACACACCAGTCTGAAACGGGCAGAGTCAGGAGCAGGCAGGACAGGGAGGGGGCCAGGAGAGGACCAAGTTCCAGTCTGTATGTTTTCTGGATATGACTTGGAAGAGTAACAGGAAAAGGGAGAACTGTGGTGAGAAATGTTCATGGGCTAGAAGGGACATCATCCAGAGCCCTGCTAAGCTGCAGACAGTGGGAACTAGAATCCCTGACCCTCCCCAGGCAGCTGGCCTGGAGGTGGGGGCTGCAAGGCCTTGGCCTCCAGGAAGCTGGGACAGCAGTGAGGAGGAGGGGCGGGCGGGGCGGTGGCCTTGCAGTCCTCAGCAGGAAGGCTAGTGGGCTCTTAGAGTCCACTGCTGCCCCACCCGCTGGGGCAGACAAAGGGAAATGTTGAAATCGCCTGAAATCCAGAGGATGGGTCCTAGCACCCAGGACTTCCAGACAGAAAGCTGCTCCCCACCCCAGGCCCAGCTAGATTATCCAAGTGGGGGGGAAGGAGAACAGTTGGAAAGAGTTAGGTATGAGTTCTCCTTGATCTGCTCAGATGCTAGTGAATTATAAACCGGTAAAACCATCTCCTTCAATTTTAAAGGAAACAGCTCTGAGAGAGAAGTGGAGTGTGTGTATATGTGTGTGTGTGTGTGTGTGTGTGCGCACACGCGCCGAGTTGGCAGATGAATAGAGTTGGAGGTCACTTCTTGGAGCAGTGGGCTACAGGGGTTGTATTAGAAGCAGTGCCTGTTAACTCTGCTCCACAAAGCCCAGCTGACGTGGGCTGTACTTTCACCACCATCACTACTTCTGCCTCTTGCCTTGGCAACCTCAGGTTCCTAACCTCATCCTGATCTCAGTTCCATCCCTGTTTATATCCCTGTCCTCAGCAGGGCATGCACCCATCGTGTGCTCCAGGCACTGCCTTGGGCACTGGGGATACAGTGAAAAACAAAGTGGACTCCCCACCAACTTCAGTGACTTCTCTTTGCCTTGCCATGATGGCTCTCCCATGCAGCCAGGTCTTGAACTCCACTTACCCCACACAATCCTGCTCTGACTCTTAAATCCACTTGTCTCTTACTCCTCATCTGTCCTAGTCTAAATAGTTGTTAGCAAAACAGCTGGAACTGAGGCTTTTTGCCCCATTGGGGGCTCCTTGTAATCTGGAGGGCAGTCAGAGCTACACAACCTAGGCCATCCCTGTCCCAGATTCTAGCCCCACCTGGCCCTAGAGGATGTGACCAGGGCCACGGTGCCCTCTAGTGCCCACTGGGTGTGCAGCAGTCCCCTGCTGCAGAAAGGTTCATTGTTCTGTCCAGGGGACTCCCTGGGTCTGTGCTGCGTGAGTGCTTAGCACTCAGCTGGTCTTCTCTGGAACACCACTCCAGGGTAAGGAGATTCTCATCTGTTTTCAGGAATATCTCAGAACCCTCAGCCAAATAGCTCTTCCACTTAGCTCTTCAATCTCGTAGCTCATTCTAATTAGAGGGTTTTTGTTGTTGTTTTTAAATGTTTAGCTCAAGTCCTTTCTTCTACAATTTTAGCTCATTCCTTAGTGGAAAGATGGAAACCAAGTGGTCATGTTTGTCATTGCTGCAGCCCTAAATGCTCCAAAAGCTCGGCTTGCTGAACTGTGGTCTCTCCCCGGCTCCTCTTCTGCCCACCCCAGCCCTCCTGGTCGCCTTGCCCTTCAAGTAGAAATGTAAACAAAACAAGAGGAGGAGGGAAGAAGGGGACACAGCAGGCTGGGGTCATAACAAGAGCCCCTGCAGACAAAAGTGAAGAATTGAATCCCTAAGGATAAGGTTTAGTCCCCCAGCCGGAGCATGTGAGACGCAGAGGTGAGGACAGGCATGGTGTTTGGGAGGAGGCCAGAAGGCCAGCCAGCTCTGCAGTTGTCTGACTGGCAACAGGGTGATGGGGAGAGGCCAGCTCTGGAACTGAGGCCTTCTCCAAGGCTGCCTGGGAAGGTCCCTAATGCCAGAGTAACAGAAGACCCCTCATGGCTCTCGCACTGCCCCTCTTTGACTGGCAGAGTACAAACCCTGAAAGACACCAGGCCAAGAAAGGCTGCCTGCACTCTCTCATCTTGCTGCTCAGAACATTCCAGTCCCTTTGCCACACCAGGAAAATGTGGCAGGAAACCAAGAAAATAAAGGGTGCTGAGTATATCAGAACCACTGTCTCCGCCCTGGCACTGCAGGTCAGCGTGCTGGGGCCTCCCTGCAGGAAACCGCCATCTTGTCTCTGAGACTCAGGCCAAGGCCTGGCATCCACCAGGTGTTCAGTGAACAAGGACTCGAATCCCTTGCTTCTCTGAAAACCCTCTTTGAAACACCTTCATTGAACTAATCTACACATCCTCTGGACCTGTTCCTGGTTCTTGTGGCCCCTCAGGGCGTGAGTTCCCATTCCCATGACTTTCTCCTACCGAGGCCTGCCTGCGCAGCATGGTTCCCTCAGGCGATAGGGTGCTGTGTGGATTACGGTCTGTCACCCTGGCCTCTCCCTTGGTGACTGTGTGCTTTTCTTTTAAATCACCACTTATTTCCCAACCGGAAAGGCCTACCCTTTTCTGTTTGCCTCATCATGGCAGCCCTTCCCTCCAGTGGCCCTCCACTCCTCATCCAGCTCCATCACCGCCCTCCAATTGTCAACAACAGCCAGAGTCCTGGGAGCGGATACCAAGGGCCACAGAGTGACCCTACCTGTTGTGGCCAGTGCACATTGTCCTGATGGCAGCTCTTGAGGCCCAGGGCCCGAGGCTGAGGAACTATGCTCCTCCCTGGAGTTCACTGTACATCTCAGGGGCATCATCTTCAAGGCTAGAACAGTTCAGTCCTCCCTCAGCTGACCAGGTGCATCCTCTCAGGTCACCCTTGTCACTGATGGATTCGACGACGGTGGCACTCAACTCCCAGCTCTATGAATTTGGAAAAACAGATCATTTAGGCCTATGTCCGGCAGTCTCTGTGGCGCCCCATCCTGGCGCTTCCCCAGCTAAAATCTGGATCCTCATCTTTTTTCATTTTCCATGACTGTGTCCGTGTTATTCTTCCCAGTACTCTTATGTTTAGTTTTAAAACTAAACTTTGTCAGCAGCGTTTTAAGCACTCTAAACAGATCACAGCTCCTCTTGCTCCTGGTTTCAGGCTCATAACTCTCAAACCCTTTTCAGCAAGTGGCCCTTACCCTGTTACTGTTCCCTGACGGCTTAGGTTCCAGTCCTTGTTCTGCCCTCCGCATGACAGGGGGACTCACCACCCACAGATCAAGCTGCGCCCACTCCCTCACGGATCTGAGTGTGGCTCCTAACACAGCCCCATCCCGCTGGCCCTGCCAGCTAACCTGCTGTGTGTCGGCCCCTCAGGAGATGCTGACACATGGGCCACCTTCCCCAGCCTTGCTGTGCTGGGGCTTCCACAAGTCACACCCTTTCCCCTGTCTTACTCTCACACTCACACACTCACACACATACTCTCACACACTTACGTTTGTATACTCCCACACCATCCCACACACTCACACGCTCCCATACTACAGCTCACACCCACTCACACACAAGTGCGCACTCACACCCACCCTCACACACTTCCACACAGTCTACACACACACTCACACTCACACACACATTCACAGACTTTTAATCCTTTCTTCCCTCCCATTTCTGTCACCTCCTTGCTCTGTCTCCTCAGGAAAGTTCCCTTCATCCCTGTCGGCCAGAACACGGCCCAGATGGTGCCCGAGGAGTGCAGAGCACTACACGGCAGCTCATCCAGAGCTGGTCAGGCCCTAGAAGTCACCTGGCAGAACTCCTTCCTCCAGATGAGGAAATGGAGGCCCAGAAAGGGAAAGGCACTCGGCCAAGGCCAAAGTGGCCCTTTTGTAGAGGGACAAGCATGTATCAAGGCAAAGGAGAACCTAGCACTCAGAAATGGATGTGATCTGGGGGACACCTTGCCTGACCCCCATGTCACCCTTCACTCCTGACATAGCCGTGAGAGCAGCTGGCATGGGCTGCCTGTGTCCCTCCTAGGCCTGCCTCCTGAACACCTGCTGGCTTCGCTGTGTGCCATTGCTGACCCCTCACTGTGTCCATCATTTCCTTTAAGACACAACTCAAGCCTACTCCTCCATGAACAACTGCCCTGACTTTACATCTCGGCCCCATTTTGTCTTGCCTCCCTCCATGGTGTGTCGAATGTGTACCTCGAGGATGTGTACTTGGTTATGTGACACTTTGTAATTGGTACTTCAAGTATATATGTTTTTGCCTTTCCAACTAAATCATAAGAGAGATCATGCCTTGTATGTGTTTTGTTTTGTATGCCCACATAGCTGACAAGATGCTTGGCATACTGCTGGGATCCCATAAAAAATGTCCAACAAATAGATACATAGATTTGACACTGGAAGCAATTGTAAGTTGCTGACTTTCAAACCAGGGCAGAAAAGGATTTTGTCACAGTTGTGTGTAGGTTCTGAAAGTCCAGAGGTACTGGAAGAGATGTGGAAGAGGATATGTCCAGGGCCATGGGCTTAGAAAGAAAGGGATGGAGTTGAACCCTGGTGGGGGAGTGGAGGGACTGGTGCTGAGGCCAGGACCTGCCAGTCTGCACCTGGCCCTGTTTACAGTATGAACTGACTGACTCCAGAGGATGCTCAGAGGTCTGGGCTGGGAGGTCTGGTGCCCAGGAAGAGCCACAGCATGCCTTGCTCTCGATGGACCTCAGCACTAATCGCCATCTTCTCTCTGCCCCTCCTTGTCTCCCCCAGAGCCGAAGGATGAAGTGGAGGTGTCCGATGATGGTGAGTGCTGGCCAGGTGGCCTTAGGTCAGCCTCTCAGGGTGGAGCAGAGTGAGCCAGGGGATCTGATGGCTCATACTCACCCTGACTCTATGCCCTCCAGATGAGAAGGAGACTGAGATTGACTACCGAACAGTGACGGTCAACACGGAACAAAAAGTATCTGACTTCTATGACATTGAAGAGAGACTAGGATCGTAAGTAGAGTGGGAAGCCGCCCCTGGACCCCAGGGTGAAGGTGGTGCAGCCCCAGAGTTAAGACCAGTGCCCCTCTTCCTGTCCTGATTCCTGCCGTGGGGATGGGGGACACCAGCCCAGGAATGCATCATTGGCTGCACATTGTCAGACTACCACAGAGTCCCTCCTGCAGTCCTGTCGCAGCCTTGGGAAGGCCTTCCTTTTCTGTGCCTCCATTCACAGCACAGCCCTGAAATACAACTGGATGTGGGTGGGGTGATGTTTAGGATCCCTTCCGTATGGTCCCCAGAAGTAGAGGAGCCCGGCTGGCATCCATGCCCAGTGCTTCATCAACATGCGAGATGGCCCCAACAATCCCCAAGGTGAACCTGCTCCACAGTGTTCCCGCTGACTCCCCCCATGGTGTGGAGGACCCCAGGCGGTCTCTCCCTGGAGGAGAACAAGAGGAAGGAGAGAAAAAGAAGCCATGCAAAGCACTTAACTACTATAGGAAAGGAGTCTGCCCTGATAGCCCTGCTAGGATGAGTTCTGTCACAGAGAAGCCTCATGCTCCCTAGTAACTGGCCGCAGGGCTCTCCCTGGGCTGTCACCAGGAGATGGTGCTAGACTGGAGCGGAAGGCAACGACTCAATAATCCTGTATTTGGGAAGGATGGACTCAACCCGACTTCATGGGTCCCTGTTCAGGGAAGGGAAGCCACCAACCAAGACCAAATAGCAGCATACTTCATTGGTCTGGAGCAGGGATTGTCAAACTTTCCCCATAAAGGGCCACGTAGGTGGCATTTTAGGCTCTTTGGGCCATAGGCTTGTGTCACAGCCACTCAGTTCTGCCATTGCTGCACAAAGGCAAATATGGACAATATGTAAGCCAACAGGTTTGTCTGGGTTCCAGTCAAACCTTGACTGTAAAAAGATGCAGGCCAGGTTTGTCCTGTCACCATGGTTTGAGAGCCCAACTTAGTAGAAATCTTGACTAAATTTGGCTTTTTTCTTCTCCCCCCCCATTTTTTTTTTTTTTTTTTGGTGTGTGTGTAGTGGGAAATTTGGACAAGTCTTTCGACTTGTAGAAAAGAAAACTGGAAAAATCTGGGCAGGGAAATTCTTCAAGGCATATTCAGCAAAAGAGAAAGAGAACATCCGGCAGGAGATCAGCATCATGAACTGCCTCCACCACCCCAAGCTGGTCCAATGTGTGGACGCCTTTGAAGAAAAGGCCAACATCGTCATGGTCCTGGAGATGTGAGTGGCATGCGGGACTGGGATCCCCCACCTGTGTCCCTCCCACTGTCCCACCTCAGCCATGTCTGACCCAAGGTAGACAGAGCTGCACTCAGTTGAACTGGGCAAGATTCTCCCCACCCTGTGGCCAGGATTGACCAGTAGGAACCAGAACTGTCCCTGACCCACTGGGCGGTGGCCTGCCTGTCATCCTGTGCTCATTTCCTCACTGGCACATCTTCCAGACCCTGAATCCTTTCCCTTCTAGTCTCCTCACAAAAGGGCCAAAGCCATCCCTAATGTCCTTGATTTCATGCAGGGCATTCTCACCTAGAGGTAGTATAAGCTTGAAGGGAAAGGACAGGGCAGCTTCCTGACTCCCCACAAAAGTAAAGGGGACCTGGGGCTGGTCCTTTCACTGAGCCTCTGCATGACCTTGTTCCACCCTTATTTTTGCCTTTTTGATTTCTCACTCACTAGAGTAGCCCTTTCTCTGCTGAGTTGTGCAAAGGCAGGGGAATGGATCAAATGAACTCCAGCCAAGGCTTCCCAGAATCCATTGTTCCCTCTGTATCCCAATCCTCTGCCTCCCTCCTTCTCTCTCTCTCTCTCTCTCTCTCTCACACACACACACACACACACGCCCACACACTACACAAACACAATGGCACCAGTAAGTCACGTGTCCTCCATGGTATCTGCATTTTTTCCTTTGCTCATCTGAATATTCAGAATTTTTTGAAAATATACAAATCACATCAAAAAATTATAAGTAAATACACAGTGAAAAGTTTTATTCCCACCCCTGTCCCCCATCTTTCTACCTCACTTCCACCTCCACCAGAGGTAAACAATTTTATTGGTTTCTGTCTGTATTCTTCCAAAGTTTCTTTATGAAAATATGAACATATATGACACACACATTCTTATTTTCCTGCACAATAACACAAAGCAACTTACTGCACTTGCTATCCCACATTTTGCATTTTCCCATGCAGTGTGACAGTCGGTCCCTCGTTCTCACAGCTTCATGGGATCTTGCTGTATAGACACAGCACACATCTTTAAGCCATCTGCTTTTGATAAGCAGTCAGGCAGTTTTCAGTCTTTTGCTTTTGCAAATAAGCATTGTTTATAACCTCACATGCCTCTGTATATCTGTAGCTTACATTCCCAGAAGTGAGGGAGCCCTGGATGTAAGGGTCTGCACATTTGAAATTTTTGCAGCCATTATAGAATTGCCTTCAGCATCCTTGCGTGACGCATTCTGAACTTTGGGGATCTCAGTCCTTGGGAAAGGCTTCCTCAGTGTCTGGGCATTCTTCCCCAGGAAAGATGAGGCCTGTGAATGGAATAATATCCACCTCTTCTCTCCCCTGATCACAGCAACATTTAAATATACTCCTTTTCTAACATGTTCCTTAGGACAGGCAAGAGTGGTTAAGAGTGCAGATGTGAGTCAAGTAGACCTGACTTCAGATCCCAGCTTTGTCTCTTGCTTGTTATCTGACCTTGAACAAGTTACTCAACTGTGCCAATCCTTAGTTTTATTATACCTAAAAGAGGCTGTTACAATGGTCTCCTGAATGCTGTGTGAATTAAGTGGAACAATGCTTTCAAGACACAGTGCCCTGTGATTGGCGGGGAGACTATCAGTATCATACATTGATTTCCTCTGTCTCCTGGCCTTTTTTCCATTTAAAAGTATGATGTCAACATTTTAACATTGAACTAGGTTTCATGGAACAGATTCCTAGTATCAGGAAGCTTGGCCCAAGTTCTATTTTATAATTGTTCAATTCTACCAGGAAAAGAAGTATTTGGGTTGAATAATTAATCCCAAGCCTCCCATTTTAGCTATAAAAATCTACAATTCTGTGGAATCATAAATGACTCTGAGAAAATCTTCACTTGTATCTTCTGATCAAACCCTCACACCACCCCGCCCCCAGCCCCCCACTCTCAGGAAGTATTTAGCCCATTTCTATAACCTCATTCATCCTACCCGCTACAAAACTCCAGGGGCTGAGACTTTTCACAGTTGTTCTAGAATAAATTGCTTAGTCCAGGCAGAGTGGGCATATGAGGACATGTGTAGAAATGTCTTATCTTTAGAAGTTAAACCTTGAGCAAGTTCGTGAGAGGGGGCAGGAGGCAGCCGAGCCTGGGTAAGGCCAGGCGGCAGCACCAGTGGGCAGAATACCATACTTAGCTTGGAATTGAGAGTTGGCAAGCTGGATGGAAAAAGCAGGGAGAAACATAAGAAGGTCTCAGCTGGTCTGGCTTTCATCCCTTCACCCCACTCCTCCCCCATGGACAAGAGCAAGTCTTACATGCACAGATGCCAGAAGATTCATTTGCCTGTGCTGGGGCTCTGGACCCAAGAAGAGGACGTGTGTCCTCCATCCATATTCCCTTCCAGCCTAATCATCCTAAGATGGGCCACAGAGAGGGAAAGGTTGATGTTTAACAGTAGAATTTGCTATTCTTCCTTGATGGAGAAACGAACTCAAGAGAAGAGGGAAGCTTGGTGATACAGAAATGTTTGAGTGGTTGAGTGCCCATGACTTCAATTCCTGGTACCCCTGCACCCCCGCCAAAAAAAGAAAAAGAAATGTATTTCTTCCATTCAGCTGTCTCAGATATGTGAGAAAGAAGAATACATGTGTTTTCTGCCTTTCTAACTTCTGAAATTACTGGACAAGCCCCCATCCTACAGCAGTGCTGCTCTGAGACATGGCCTGGAGCCTGGGCTTGTCCTTTTGGAAATATTTGGTACATTCCAAGTGGTGGTGGGACCCTGAGCACTGAAGAGGGTGTGAGGTTTAGGCTGAGTCATTGGTGGCCGACCTGTCCTTTGTGCTACTGCACAAAATTGATCAAAGAGCATCCAGCTGGAAGCCATGAGATAAGGAGGAGAGGGCCTGGGTAGAGAGTCTCTGGCCAGCATCATCCCTTCTGGCTGCCAATGAGGGCTGGCCAAGGCCTAAAGATTTGAGGATAAATTTGATCCCTTGGGACAGGCAACCTTGGTGACAATAGGTATTTCATTTATTGATTCACTCACTATTAATTTAGTAAGCACACATTTCCTCTGGCACAGTCTTAGCCCTTGGCATTATCCTATCTCTGTGGATGGTGGCTTCTTTCTACCAAACCTATACTTTCACCATAGTCTAGAGAATCTTGAAGAGAAACTTTCAGAGCCATTAATCCTCCTTATTTGGAATAGGAGCAAACCTATTTGAACTGATAATGAATAAGTTACCTCTAGAAGTGCCTCAGTAATTATCTCCGTGGCTCAGATATCTGCTACTCATTGCCTCAAGACATTCCCAAGGGCACTGAAAATAATGGTTGCTTGCTTTCTCAGAATAGTATAAACAAACATTTGGGGCATCTTGTCTGTTCCAGATACCTCCAGGTGCAAGGCCTGGAGGTGAGCCAGACCTTTGCAGACATGCTGACAAACAACTTTGAGACAAGGCACAGATGCCCACAGAAGGAAAGAGCTTTCCATATAGAGAAATAGGGAGGAAGTTCTTCTAGGGTATGGATTTCAGCTGTCTATCAGGATGGTAGTGGAGTAAGCCAGTATTTCCCAACCTGTCTGACTAGTAGAGTAACTGGGTATGTCTTAAAAGTACAGATTTTCAGATCCTTCCCAAGGTTTCCTAAATCAGAATCTCCAGGGAAGAAGCTTGGGAATCTGTATTTTTAGTGAGAGCCACAAGTATTCTTTAAAATAAAAAATTAATAATCAGCATGCACTTACTATGTACAGGGCAGCCTTTTTTTAATTGATTTTATTTTTTAAATACACGACAGCAGAATACACGACATCACAATTCTTATTATACATATAGAGCACAATTTTTCATATCTCTGTTTGTATATAAAGTATATTCACACCAATTCATGTCTCCATACATGTACTTTGGATAATGATGTCCACCACATTCCACTATCATTGCTAACCCCTACCCCCTCCCTTCCCCTCCTACCCTCTGCCCTATCTAGAGGGGAGGAATAGACAAACTCTAGACAGGGAAGCCTTCTAAGCACTTTGCCTGGATTAACTCACTCCATCTTGGTAGCAATCCTGTGGGGTGGTGATATTTTTATCTTCAGATTACAAATGAAGAAATTGAGACACAGAAGTGTTAAGACTCACCTGAGACCTAACATTGTAGAGGTTGTCTCAAAGCCTTGGTGGAGAGCAATAGAAATGGAGGGCTTAAGGACAAGGGCGCCACCTGCTAGCTGTGCAGAAACCTTCTTCTTGGGTTGGTTCTTAAGCATCAGTTTTAGTGCCCCCTAGTGGCTACTTGCATACACTAAGCTTTCCTGGCTTAGTCCTGTCCCAACATCATATGGTGATGGAGGTGGACAGGCCATGATGAGCTTGGTGCATCCTTGTCTGTTTCTCCCGCAGAGGTCAGTGGCAAGATCCACCTGGCCCACCAGAGGTTGTCAAACAATAATATGTGCTGAGCACCTCCTATGTGTCAAGAGAGATACTTTACAAAGTTTTCAACATTCCTAACAATTCAGGGAGGTACAGCAAATAAGGAACCTAGGGCTTTGGAGGGTTAACTTTCCAAAACTTACATAGTTTGTAAAAGGTAGAAAGACGGTGTTCAGTCAGTCCTTCATCTCTTCATGATGTTCCCCTTAGGAGAAGGGACACTCTAGTAAGAGCAGAGTCCTGGGAGGAAGTCTATCCAGCCTTGTCGAGCTGGTGGACCCCCAGTCTGTTGTAGGAAAGAGAGTGTACTGGTATCTGAATGCTGCATAAGTTGCCAAGGACATGCTTTAAACCTGCTGAGCAGTAAGCAAGGAAGGTGGCCCAAGAGCTGGGGTTGTATTTAGCAGGGCTGTGCATTTGCACTTAAGGACAATATGCTGGTTGGCTGAGGCCCAGGACAGCTTTTAGCACAGGACTCCAGGCTGTAGGTTCCAGGAGTAGAATGAAATGGACATGGCCAGGATCCAGAGTCTATCCAGGTACAAAGGATTACACTTCCAGTGTGGACAAGGAAGGAGTCCAGGCACAATAGTTAGTGGCTGGAGGAAGTAAACCAATACTAGGCTTAGCCAGAGTATGCAAACCTGTCAGTTTAGTGGGCTATAGCCAACTAATTCTAGAAAATTTGCTGAGGCTTCCTTAACAGAAAAATATTTTTCCATAAACAATGCTTATGGAAACTATCTTTTAAACTTCAGCTCCCTGTGACTAAAAGACACAGCAAGGGTATGAGAATTTTTTGTGTGTTCATCTGTGGTCCTATGAGGGAAAGAGACTGCTCAGTGGTTACCCTTTTTGCTAAGGAGATCATATCCAGATTCCTCCATTCACACACACCCCTGAGACTGTCTGGGCTGAGTATTTTCTTGATTTTAGATCCTTCCCTGAGACCCCCAGCAGCTTGGCAGGGCAGCGCCCCACTCAAAGCAGAAAACCAGGAGACCCTGACCCCCCTCCCATGATGGAAGAGTGGGGCTCATAAAGCTGTAGGAAGTGCCCCTCCCCCATCCTACCAGGGCCAGACACCCCACCAGCACAACCCCACAATCCTAAGATCTGACCACAGTGCCCTTCCAACCTCCTTCCAACCTCCTGTCCCCACAGTGTTTCGGGAGGAGAGCTGTTTGAGCGTATCATCGATGAGGACTTTGAGCTGACAGAGCGCGAGTGCATCAAGTACATGCGGCAGATCTCCGAGGGGGTGGAGTACATCCACAAGCAGGGCATCGTGCACCTGGACCTCAAACCTGAGAACATCATGTGCGTCAACAAGACGGGCACCAAGATCAAGCTCATTGACTTCGGTCTGGCCCGAAGGCTGGGTAAGGCTGAACTACCTCTCTTCCACTGTGTGGTAGCAAGCAGCTGTTTGTGCTCCATTATCAGGGCCAAAGTGGGAGACCATGAAGACTGCTCAGGTTCAAAGTCAGTCCCAACCATTTAGTACTGTGTGACACAATACCTCATAGGCTTATTATAAGGACCAAACAGGTTGGTCCTAAAATAAAGCAACAGCAGCAGTGCCTGCGATTGGCAAGGCGTTAGCTACTTATCTGATGAGGAGGAGGAGAAGGGTGTCATTAGCAGCAAAACTCATTTTGATTATGGCGGCCTCTCACATCTACATCATACTGCACAGTTTCCAGAGTACTTTTACTTTAAAAATTAAAATTTTTTAAATCCCATTGATTCTCATCCAGAGGTAGGTAGGGTGGACTTCTTGAGCCCCGCTTCACAGAGTAGGAGATGTGCAGGTGCTGTGCCCAGCACATCCCACCATGAGCCAGGGGAGGTGCTGGGGCTGGAAGGACTGGAGCCCAGTCCAAGGTGCTCTGTAGCCGTTCTGCTATTCGTACCCTAAGTGGAGGAGAGAAGGGGAGAAGTGGTTGGGGCCTCATACCCATCCTGAAGTCGTTTTGGTCAGTGACTGCCTCACGAACCACCTGCAGCCACTCTGCTCTGCAGTCTTTGATGTTTCAGTAACTGAGCAAAAGGCTTCTCTCTCCCATTGCAGTCACTGCCCAGTTAACAGGAGCTCCAGGCTGGTTTGAAGCTGTCCTTTATTTCACTACATTGTGGAAATCAGGAAGTCACTGGCCAAGCTAACACCATCTGGTAAACCTCCCAGGATGTCCAGTCCTGGTTGAGGCCATGTTATTGCTATAGAGGACACTGAGGGAGGAAAGTCCTGATAGGCCTTGACTTGCCTGACGACACTAGGCAACACACCTCCCTGCTCTCTCCTGCTACAGGGACAGGGTGGGATTAGCAGCCAGTGTACACGGCCTGCCTTTGGGAAGTACCCATTAATAAAGTAAATGAATAGGGAAGCACTGGCCTCAGGAGCTGGCAGTGTCAAAGCCAGGGAACACAATGTTCAGATTCCCTTGAGGGAGGCGTACTGTGGCAACAGTGGTATCCACCAAGGACCAGAGAATAGACATGGTTACCATAACAGGAAGGTTTGGGTGACAGCTATTAAGTGCTGTCTGTTTTAGAACATTTGCCATGGGGCCTGCATAGTTGAACAAGACCAGATGTGGCCCCTGGGGCAAAGGCCTGCAACTCAACATGCTGACGATAGCTTCCGGCAGCAGGCCCCTGCCCTGTGAAAACTAACAGGCTCCCGTCCTTTGAGACTGAGAGACACCATGTGTGATTGAGGCCACCGAACATCCCAGGGCTCCTAAGAGAAGAGACGTGGAGCTACAGGGGCAACAGGAGAGGAGCAGAGGGACAAGGATGGAGGGAACCTGGTTCAGCAATAGACCATCTGGTTGAGGTCTTGAACCTGATTTACTGTGTGGGCCTCAGTTTTGTGCTCAGTAGCATGGACATCACACCTACTTCTCAGGATTGTTGAGAATATTAAATAGAAAAATCCTTGCAAAGTATGTAGCAGAGTACGTAAGACACAATGATTGGTAGACGTTATTGAGTATAAGCCATGATCCCTGCCTTGGGGAACCACCTATGGGAGATAACACAGAGAAGGACCACTCAGGGGCGGGTGCTTCAGTGGCCTCTTCTCACTCTCCCCATCCCTCTCAGGACATCTGAGGTAAGTGTGTGGTTTGTTGGCTTCTCTGGTGGGTTGATGCACCTGTTTAATGAGGAGGCCAGGTGCCTTCGTATGGTTATCTAAGGAGAGAGCATCTAAGCACCCAGCCCTTGTCTGTCCCTTCCAGTTTGGGGCTCATCACGCAGACAAGACAGATACCTACCTTGACCTGGCTCTACAATGTGCTGGCAATTGACCCCTTTCTGTCTTGATTTCAGAGAATGCAGGGTCTCTGAAGGTCCTCTTTGGCACCCCAGAGTTTGTGGCTCCAGAAGTGATCAACTATGAACCCATCGGCTATGCCACTGACATGTGGAGCATCGGGGTCATCTGCTATATCCTGTGAGTCCCAAGGCAGTGGGGGGAGGGGGTCAGAGAGTCCCACAGGACGGGTCCCAGGCTGCCATAATGTTGTGAGGGAGGGGTCAGGGCAGGTCATGATGGGGAGCCCACCCCAGAGCAAAAGGGCAACAGGTTCCCATTCCTGGTTCCTGATGGCCCACCATGCTCGTGGACTCCCAGAGCACCAGTGGCCTGCTTCACTCTTCTGGAGCTATGTAGACCACACACCAAGATCCCCATGCCAGGTCCTTCATGATCCCAAGTGCTGACAGCCTGGGGCCTTTGGTCAGGAGCAGGGTAAATGCAGCTGGCACCATCACCTGTATAGATGGGCCCACAAAGAAGTGAGGGAGCCCAGGTGCATATCTCTGGGAATCTTCATTGTCTTGCAAGGACAGCACCCCATCCTCCTGGGATGAGGACCTCAACCACCAGCCTGGTCTCTGACCCCAGAGTATGTACTTCAATGTGAAAACAGGAACAGAAAGCAATACAGTAATTAGAACTGGGGAGTCAGGTGGAAAACATGACCATTTCCATTACTAAGCTGGGGAAAGAGAGGCCATCGATCTAGACCTGTGCTTTGCAACCCTTAACATGTATGAGTCACCTAGGTTCTCACTCAGGTTTCAGGTTTTGACTCAGGTCTGGGGGACCTGAGACTCCACGCTGCTAGTAGTTTCCAGGTTGCCCAAGGTGCTGGTCCAAGGACACACCTGGAGTAAGGAAGCTCCAGAACACGCTCTCTTAGTGCATCACGTTGATTTCATTTCTGAAGCCTCAGGCCACAGGCAGTCTTTAGCCTCAGAGGCATCCCTGAACTCATGGGGCAATAGGTTTGAGATGGTCTCCCCAAAGATGCCTTTAAAAGTTATTTTTTATTGTCAAAATCAAAGGAAAATTAAAGTTTTTCATAGAAAACTAAAGGAAGATCTTGAAGAATACCCAGGAGAAGAGTCTCAGTGACTCTGATGCCCCGTGGGTTTTGGAATCACTGTTACAAAAGCTTTAGTAGGAGTGGGATGAGTTTGGTGCAGTAGAGGTTTTGGTAAGCCCAGGAGTTGTTTTACTCTCCACCGTGAGGACAGCCTCCCTCAGTTGAAACTCTGCCAGTTTCTGTAACCCAGGGAGTCTCCTTCTTCCTCTCCCTGGGCCTTCTCCCCGACAAACAGCCCACCCCAGAGCAGGGGAGAAGAAATCCCAGGCCAGTCTACATTTCCCTCCTCTCTTCACACTAGCGCCCTCCAGGAGATGGCGCTGGTGAGTAAATTCAGCCCCACCTTTCTTCTGGCTCCTGTGGTAAAGAGCAGAGAGTGTTGGGCTCAGTCTGCCCCTTCCGGAGCTGCCCTGGGTCTGGCCAGTGCTCACTCTGGCTTCTTTTCTGTTTTGGTACTGGGGATTGAACGGAGAGACATTTAACCTGAGCCACATCCCCAGCCTTTTTTTTTTTTTTTTTTTTGGACAGGGTCTTGCTAGGTTGCTTAGGACCTTGCTAAATTGCTGAGGCTGGCTTTGAACTCATGATCCTCCTGCCTCAGCCTCCTGAGTTGCTAGGATTTACAGCACGCACCACCATACTCAGCCCTTGCTTTGGTTTCTGAGCCCTGAGAAACACCTGGTCCTACAGGAGCCATCCTTGGCCAGCTCACTCTATTCAGACTCTGCTGCCCTATGGCTTGGCTGGGTGCCCAGGCCCCACTTCAGCCATTAATGAGTTTTGCCTCCCTGCTTGTGTCAGTGTTTTCCTGTCCCATAGCAGGGGGCCTCTATGTCAAGAGGGAGGAGATAGACGTGTATGTGTGTCCAGAACACCAATTTCCACCCGGGGGTTGGTTCCATCCTCTGCGCAAACCTGAAGTGGGAAGTGGCAGGAATTTGATTTTCATTTGGCACTGAGGTAACTGGAGCCATGGAGGCCACTTGGCTGTCCACTTCCCACAGTCTGGGCTGGTGACCAAGAGTCCCAGTTTGCACAGGACCCATGGTTTCCCAGGATACAGGACTTTAAGGGCTAAAATGGGGACAGCCTCAGGCAAACTGGTCAGCGACAGCAGGGACTGGACTAGTCATTAAGCTTTCAGTGAACATACGCTGCACTTCACCCAGGTGGAGACAGACTCCACCAGGCCCAGCAGCCATCAGGGACCTTCCCAGTTACTGTTCCCCAGAGACACCCCCTGTCCTCATGTCTTGCTGTGGATTGGTTCTGCCTGTTCTTGGGCTTCATGTGAATAAAATCACACAGTCTTCTTTTGCTCCAGTGGTGAGATTCATTCCTGTTATCTGCAGTTGTAGACTGTTAACTCTGTACCCATAGCCATTGCAGACCATTTTTGTGACTACAATCCAGCTAATTTATCCATTCTGCATTGGTGAGCTTTTGAGTAGTTTCCAATTTGAAGTCTAAAAGAAGTCTCCATGTTTTAGTGAGTCTATCTATGCATTCCTTTTGGGTATATAATCTAGAAATAGAATTACTAGGTCATAAGAGCGTTTAATTTTAAAATAAAAACTCTTTTAGGTGGAAGGACATGGTGGTTTGGGTTCTAGGCTACCCCATTTACTATATTACCTTTAGAGCTAAGACCAAGAAATAGGGAAGGATAATTTTGATGCATGGGGCACCAACCTGAAGGTGCTTGGCATAGAGATGTCAGGAGGGAGGAGATAGATGTGTATGTGTGTCCAGAAAACCAGTGGAGCCCAGCAGAGGTGCTGGCTCAGCCCTGGCTTAGCTCCACACAATGCCCTGACTCCCACACCCACCACTGGGGGCCACTGCCCTCTGGGATGCTCCTGAGCTGATCCCTCAATGCTGATCTGGGTCTGGAAGTTCCCCTCCAGAGCTAGGGCTCTTGGCAGAGCACATGGTACCAAAAATAAAAGTTGGAGCCAGCTAGATGACGTAAGCCTCTGCCATACAGAACTCTGGAGTCATGCTGGAAGCACCCAGAAGAGATTCTCTGGTGCCTCCATGGCATCCTCTGCCCTGCTTCATCTTGTTTCCAGCCAAGTCGTTTGTCCAACAGTCCCTGTCTGGGGGGCTTCCACCTCGAACAGAGAATCCCTCCTGATTTCCTTTCTGGGGCCAGTGAAAGACGACAAGTAGGAGGCGGGTAGCCAAGTGATAACACCTTTGTAATTCAGCAGGTCTTTGGTGGGCACCTCCAGAAAGCTGCCTCAGGCCACCCAGGGTGATGTGACTTCACTATGACACCCCTTCATAAACCCAGCCCAGAAACCTGGTTAAGTCCTGCCCCTGCTCACTTCCAATCCTGGGTTTTCTCCCTCCTGGTTCTGAAGGTCTCCTGGAGGCCTTCTGAAATGAGCAAGACCCAGTTGGTTTCTGGCAGGAAGAGAGCGCCAGGCCACACTTCCATGTGGAAGAAATTATGCACCCGCCTCCTTTTCTAAAACCTCCTTCCATCTGCCATCTCCCCTTCCCGTTTCCTGAGCACTTGGTGTTCTCTTGCTGCCTCAGGGAGGGGATTCTGCTTTGTGCTTTGCCTCATCCCTCCTCCATTTCTTCCTCCTCTCCACCACCACTAGGAAGAAGAAGCAGCAATCGCTACTCCACTTTCCCCTCCCTCTCATCTTCCTGTCTCAACAAAGGATTCTTCCACTTCAGTTTATAAATTTTTTTTTCAGTACTGGTGATTGAATCCAGGATCTTGCACAAGCTAGGCAAGTGTGCTACCTCTGAGCTACATCCCCAGCCCCCCACCTGTTTGTTTTTTGTTTAAACTTTGAGATAGGGTTTTATTAAGTTGTCCAGGCTGGCCTTAAATTCATAATCCTCCTGCCTCTGCCTCTGGAGTAACCAGGATTACAGGCATGCACCCCAACGCCTGGCTCACTTCAGCTCATTTGTGGAGTACCTGCATGGTCAAGAGCTGGGGCTGCCCCCATCCTGGTGTATGGTTGGGAAGGGGGGAATACCAGAAGGGAGGAGAGGTGAGTGGCAGTTTTTGAGTTCTTCTGGGGACAGCAGCCCAGTCAGCTGGGGGGAGTCCCATGCTTAAGCAGAGTACAGGGCACATCCTGCATCTGGGGTCTAGATGCAGGGCTCTTCGGAAGGAACAGGTGGCCTCTGCCTTCCCTACCCAGGGCTGTCCTTCCCTCTCCACTGCTGCAGTTTGATGTGCTTGTTGATTCACGTTTTATGACCTCCAGGCTCTCTGCTCCCTTGCCAAACCTGGCCACCACCTTCAGGTCTTGCTGTCCAGGGACTTGGGTTGTGATTAACAGGACTAAAGCCAGGCCACTGCTTCCTCAACCATTAAAAAAGACCAGACTCGGGTCCTCTGTGGACCTGCCCAGCCCTCTCAAGTTGCCATCAGAGTATCTGAAAGTTAAAATGGGGTAAAGAGGAAGTCCTTCTGCAGTAGTCAGTAGCTCTGCTGGCAGACATGTGGTCCCCTTGCTGGTCTGCACCTTGAAAAACAACATGGAGAAAGTGTAGCCCAAGAGGCATTTATGTGCCCTCTGCTCTCCTGAGATTCTGCCCTGATAGCAGGATAGGCCCCTGCACTAAATTCCCTGGTGAAGTTCTGGACTGAAAATAAGAATGAAGAAATTAGAGTTGGTAGCCAAGTGCAATTGCACACACCTGTAATCCCAGTTATTCAAGAGGCTGAGACAGGGGAACCGTAAGTTCAAGGCCACTTGTGAGACCCTGTCTCAAAATAAAATTTAAAAGGGGGGGCTGGGGATTTGACTCAGTAGTAGAGCCAAGGCTCTGCATTTGACACCCCCACCCCCAGTACTGTGAAACAGAAGAATGGAGAAATTAGAGTGTCCTGCATACATGACTTTTGTCACTCCTCAGTGTTCAGCATGAACATGGAGACTGTACATACTGAGATGTGAAGTGAGAAAAAGTAACGCACCCCGAGACTTTGCCCAGACCTGTCACATTTGTGAAAACCAGATAAATAGGTTGGTTAAAAACTAAATACGACTAGGAAGGGGGAAAGAGTTGTGTTGTAATGCTAACATTAGTGTATTTGTTCATTGGTTGATTTTTAACAAATAGTGAGGTTTTTGTTTTTATTTTTAAAGAAAAAGACATGTTATCTCTTATGGAAATTCTAATAAAGCCCAAAAAAGAAAGTTAAAAAAAAAATCCAGCAAAATCCAACCATCCAGAAAATAGCATTACTGGAAATTCGAACTCTCTTCGTCCCTTTGCTGTGTACCTGTATTTTCCATGTTTTACTCCAGAGATGTGCTCTTTGGTAGGGAGAATGCTAGTTCCTCAGCAGGCGAAGAACCAGCCAGGACACAGGACACAGAGGGTATTTCAGATGGCTGGCTGCCAGGAGGGAGGAGGGCCAGAGGCCAGAGGCCAGGAGGCTCTCCCTGCCTGTGAAAAGCACAGAGATTAAGACCTATCTTCGCAGGATTACAGCTCCTAATTAGGAAAGGAGGCTTGCAGAAGGGGACCTTTCAGCATTCCACAGCAGGCTTGTTTGCTTTTCCTGCCATCTTTTAGAGTGCTGCAAGACTTTCCCCCTCTTTGTTTAAAATAGAAAATATAAAGACAAGAAGAAGCAGGTAACTGATGGGCAGAGACATGCTGCTGCTTGATGGGGCTCACGGAGGCCATGGAGGGTGGCAGAGATGCAGGGAGCTGAGAGGCCCCTGGGAGATCTAGCCCAGACCCCATGGTGTATAAAAGGGGAGACTGAGGCCCAGAGAGGGGAAAGGAAATCACATGGCAAAGTACAGGCTCAGGTAAACTCCCACCCTTCCCTAATGTGACAGGAGTGGGAACTGTCACCTCTTTGCCTTCATAAAACAAATGTCTTCTTTGATATAAGGAGAGTAACTAAGAACAGAGTAGGGTCGAAGAGCATGAGAAGAAGATTAACATTAAACAGGGATGAGAGGTGGGAGGGAAAGGGAGAGAGAAGGGAAATTGCATGGAAATGGAAGGAGACCCTCAGGGTTATACAAAAGTACATACAAGAGGAAGTGAGGGGAAAGGGAAAAATAATACAAGGGGGAGAAATGAATGACAGTAGAGGGGGCAGAGAGAGAAGAGGCGAGGGGAGGGGAGGGGAGGGGGGATAGTAGAGGATAGGAAAGGCAGCAGAACACAACAGACACGAGTATGGCAATATGTAAATCAATGGATGTGTAACTGATGTGATTCTGCAATCTGTATATGGGGTAAAAATGGGAGCTCATAACCCACTTGAATCAAAGTGTGAAATATGATATATCAAGAATTATGTAATGTTTTGAACAGCCAACAATAAAAAATTTAAAAAAAATAAAAGAAAAATGATGATATTCTGATAAAAAAAAAAAACAAATCAGTGTCCTGCCTTAAGAAATATCAACTACCAAAGTCTATTATTCAAAAACACAAATATGTTGATTAGGCTGAGATAATTCTCATTGCAAAAGCTTTCCTTGCTTTATAAAATCTCTTACCAGAGGGCTTCTCCCATGGCCAGCTTTCTTCTAGGTGGGTTTTGTTCCACCAAATTCAGTGTTTGGCTGTGGGTGTATTTCGTAAGCCAAGGCCGTTTCCATGCCAAAACAGCTCCAGAAGCTGTGATTGCATTATTTTTTATGGTGATGGACTTATAAGGATTTGGGAGAAGGGACATTAATAAAGCTCTAACTTGAGAGATTGATGGCCTGAGAGCCCCAGATGCATCTCATGGGGTTTTAGATGGGATCAGGCTGGGACCAGCTGCATAATTTACAAAATCAAAAAGTAGGGACACTTGCTGAAACCTTATTAAGGATTCCAAGATGCTGGCAGCAGGGCATTACGCCAAGTGTGGGGCCCATCTAAGGGCAGGACTCCAGGCAGCTGTGCAGCTGGCACCCCCGTGCAGTGGGCCTCAGTCAGTGTGGTGGGGTCATCACTGGCATGTAGATGAGGTGAGAGGTCAGGGCAGTGAGCTGTTCTATTTGGCTTTAGGTTCTCTACCTTCCAAGTTTTTTTTTTTTTTTTTTTTTTTTTTTTTTTTTTTTGACTTGGGCAACTGGTAAATGAGTTGTTCCTACCGTCAGAGGTTGGTGAGGCAATGGAGGGTGACCCAGAGGGATGGTCCCATATATGTGGTCACAGATTGCTGCTACTGTGTGCACAGTGGCTTCCTTCATTTCACAGAAGAGCTAGTTCAGCAGTAGTTTAGCAGCAGCCTCCAGAGACCCACATCTGGGTTCCTGTCCCACCAGCTGGGAATCCTTGGGCAGGTCATTTACCCGTGTTCTGTGCCTCAGTTGCCTCCTCCGTAAAGCAAAGTTCCTGAGCTCTCTGTGTGCTAGGGTGGTTTTAAGGTTTGATGAGTTCCTCTGTTCATGCCTGGAACATGGTAAAGTTTGGTAGATGTTTGCTGTTGCTGAAGAAATGGTGGCCCTATAGTTAAGCAGTGGCTCTCCATTTTAGAGGAGAAGAAAGGGTGACAGAAATAAGAGGAATTGCCCAAGGTCACCCAGCAAATGAAGAGGCTGTGCTCTGTCCTCTGCCAGGCACCTGTAGGGACACTTTTGAGGGTGGTGTAAATGCCCACGGTGCTCTGAACCCCCCTTGCTGGTTCAAAGCCCACGAGTTCATTTGGCTCCTGCTGGATGAGCCACCTGTGCTGGGACCCCTTTGTGGAGCTGAAAGCTGGTGGGGAGGGGAGAGAGAGAGAAAGAAAGAGCTGAGGGTCTCAAAGGGAGGGGCAGGGTGCCATGGTGGGCACCAGAGACTAGCCAGGGTAAGGATGGAGACCCAAGCCCAAGGAAGGGGCCTAGAGAAGGTTCTGGAGGGGAAAGTGCCAGCATGGGCTTTGAGGAAAATTGAAGATAAGGGCAGAGGGGCTCATCAGCCTGTGGTGTCCCATGTAGAAGTCCTTAAAAACCACGTTCCTGCCACCTCAGCCACATGGCAGATGGTGAGACCACCTCAGCCTCTTGGCAGGCAGGTGGTGTCAAGAGGCGGGGACACCAGTGAGCCACTGAGAACAGCTGGGACCACACAAGCCCATGGTTTGGGGGGACACCTTGATTCTTCCTGAAGATGAAGACAAGGCGGGTGCAAGGGCGCACGGAGGAACTTGGGGTGGGGGCTTTGCCAGCCCTCACCTGGTGCTCACATGGGGGCTGCATCCCCCACCCCACCAACCTGCCCTTCACCCCTGCTGCCCTCCTTTTCTTGCCCAGGGTCAGCGGCCTCTCCCCCTTCATGGGTGACAACGATAACGAGACCTTAGCCAACGTTACCTCTGCCACCTGGGACTTCGACGACGAGGCATTCGATGAGATCTCTGATGATGCCAAGGATTTCATCAGCAACCTGCTGAAGAAAGACATGAAGTAAGGACTGGGATTTCAGTCCTGCTGGCCTCCCAGCCCCGGGGCTCTCTTCAGCTTGGTGGGGCTCCCTCACCCCTTGGCCCCAGTCCAGTCTTGCTATTCCCTAAGGAGGGGAGGGCAGCCACAGTGAGAGACCAGCCTGCATACATGCAGGGAGAGGAAGGGTCCCCCAGACCCCTGGTCCTGGTGCCAGACACTGTTTCCATCTCTAGAAGCACAGAAAGTTCTTTGGAAAAGGTGAGCGCTAAAGAGGGCTGCAGGGTAATGTTCTGTGTGGGTAATGGTTCTGTGTGTGGCTGTAACCTAATGAAGCCCTGCCGGCACTTCAGCCCCTCTTCAAGGCTCACAGGGGATCCACCCTCCCTATATCTGTGAGAGCAGATACAGAGGCAACTGAAAACCTGTTGGAGGGTCCTTATCACACCCCCAGATTATTCCAGTGAGGTGCTTTTTGCATATCTAACTTATTTAAGAACTGCCTGCCTGAACGTGGCCCAGTACCTAATAGCACAAAAAGCAGTTGTGAAGTCGGGGGATAGGCTGCTGTGTCTGGGCACACAGATGGCCAAGCTCTAAGGAAAGGGTAGTCACACAGGCCCAGGAATTTCAGTGACAGCTGGAGGTGGAGCTGTGGGGGAGACTGAAGGGGAGGAGGCTACAGGTGGCTGTGGCTGTGGCTCTGCGGCATTTGTGAGCAGAATCAGCTAGATTAAAGCAAGAAGGTGAGGGAGCTCTGCATGCACAGGGAGAGCTGCCGGGATTGGGAACCTTGGGGATGTCAGGTGGGATCCCCAGTCTATCAGCACTCACCCTCTGTGAATAGATGGCCAGATGAGGCAGGCCTGGCTCCAGTCAGATTTGGGCCTTGGGAGCAGCTGCAACCCTTCAGAGATGGGTAGTGTTAAATATTGAAGGACCAGAGGGTTGGGGCAGCTGCCTCGAGGGGTTGCAGGAGGCTCAGCATTTGCAAGTGACTTTGCAGCCTGGGTTCTGCCTGTCTGCCTGGCCCGTGGACCCTGTGAGGCTGCAGTTTGCTTCTCCTTGGTAGTAACATTATTTGGGACAGGAGAGCACAGTTGCTACTAAAGCATATCAGAGACTCTGTTAGATGGCTGCATCTGGGTCTCCTGTTATCCACCCACCCCTCTGTCCTCTTTAGCCATCTCAGGGCCAACAACCCCAGAGGCAATCGTCTACACTCCTTGACAATGCTTATAGCCTTTGGCTGTCATGGTCATTGTATCAGAAGTGAATATGGCCCAAGGACAGCGGGGAAGTTGTGGTGGGTTAGGTTCATTTCCAAGGTGAGGGATTCCCCCACCCTCCAGGTGGAAACTTCTCTCCTAATGACTGGTCCAAGGATGGCTTTTGTCAACCAAGCTTCATTCATTGAAGATTTGGTACATGCAATATACAGCTTATTTTCTCACCTGGCCTTAAATTAATATAGTAACAGGCTGTTGGGCTCCTCTGCTTATACATTGTCTTACCAAAGACTGATTTTAATCAAATATTTTAAAATGCTAGATTCCCATAAACTCTTATATTTAGCAGTTCTTCAACCAGAAATCTGTCATCACTTTTAAAAATCTTTTTTCTTCTATATAGTAAAATGCATAAATTGTAGAGAATTTGAAGAATTGAAGAAATTTTAAACCATCCATAATCCCTTTACTTAAAGATCACTACCTCCTGCTGCTATACTTCTTTCTAGTCATTTTTCTAAGTATGTTAGTGTTTGATTCTTTGGGTTTATTAGTCCTGTTACAACTAAAGTGACAGCCCTGATATATTTCTAGATTCCAAGAGCCTTCAGAAAGATTATATTGAGTTTCAATGCAGTTCTAAGATTTCCATAATTTATAATTTGTATGTAGGACATACCTCTTTGAGCTGTAATAGGAAAAACCTGACACTTAACCCCACCATAAGATGTGAGAGAATTCAGTGATTGTCAGAGGTTTTGTCTTTCCCTAGAAGGGGAAGCAGAAGAATTAGGCCTCCAGGGATCCCAGCCCCCATGTGACCAGCAGAATGAACCCACCCTGAAATACGGTGCCAATTACACCCAGATACTGCGGCACTGACCCTTCCTGAACTCCAGGAGCAAGTCTAGAGACTCCAGTTGCTTCCCTGGTGGTTGGGCCTTCTAAACCCTGACCCAGGCTGGGTCCAGTCCGTGTACCTGAGACCAAGACAGGGGAAAGACAAGTGCACAGTGCCCCTGATTATGATGGATGGACTGGGTGTGGGGAGCCCTGAGCTCTGCACCATGTGGACAGAGACAGTAACCTCCCATTTCTGATCTGACCAGTGATCACTGAGGTCCCTTCCTATTCAGAAGTCCTCTGATCTCTCTTCCATCAGAAACCGCCTGGACTGTACCCAGTGCCTTCAGCATCCATGGCTAATGAAAGATACCAAGAACATGGAGGCCAAGAAGCTCTCCAAGGACCGGATGAAGAAGTACATGGCAAGAAGAAAATGGCAGGTGATTTGGGGCTCATTTGGACTGGGATGTTGCTTCTTGGGTTGGCTTTATTCAAGCCACTCTCACTCCCAGCTGGCTCTTGCCTCTCCTGGGAAGTCTAACTGTGTTTCTGAAATAGTCTGGGACCACTGTAGGCAGCTCTTAAGGTACAGTGTTCTCTTGCTCCTGAGCTAGGGTCCTTTGCGCAGAGGAAGTAGTTTCTCAAGTACAGCTGGCTCTCCAATCCTGCTCAGCTTTGTCCCAGAGAGATCAGGAAGGGACTTTGTAGCCTGGCCCTCACTGACATTCATGTCTTCTTAGCTGGGAATGAGCAAGGCCTCCTTGAGGTCTGTTTGGCAACCCCGGAGAATGTGGCCTCCTCAAAGGTGGTGTGATGGCATCCTCTCCCTGTGATCAAGAAGGAGGGCACATGCTCTAGAGAGACTGTCACCACTCCATAGGGAGGTTGGATGTTACTGGCTGTGTGTCCTAAGGCAAGTAACTTAGCCTTGCTGTGAATTAATTTTCTCATCTGTCAAGTGGGGACATTGGCACCAGCTCACAGCATTGTTGGGAGTTAGATGTGATAATCTTACAGCCTTTAGCACAACACCTGATACGTAGCGAACATTCAAAAACGCTCCCAGCAGTGAATGCATATGGAGGGCTGGCCACGGTCAGAGCCATCCAGAGCATTTGCTGCACATAGAGTCTTTTAATCCCAGGAGGTAGGTACTATTATTTTCTCCACTTTACAGGCAAACTAAGGTAGAGAAAAGGTCAGAAAAGTCCCCCAGCATCACACAGCCAAGTGGAAAGACCAGGAATCCAATCTAAAACCTGGCTCCAAAACACATAGTCCAAATTGCCTCTAATGACAAGATGAATAAAACTGTTATCCTGAACTGGGGCTGTGGCTCAGTGGTAGAGTGCTCACCTAGCATGTGGAAGACCCTGGGTTAGATCCTCAGCACCACATATAAATAAAGGTATTGTGTGCAACTGCAACTAAAATTTTTAAAAACCTGTTATCCAAAACCATAGAGCACTTATCACCATCATCCTCACTTTTTGATTATTTTTATTATCACAATTTACATTCTAAAATTCTCGATTACTGAAGAGGACAAGGTCTGTAGTCAGGGAATGTATATGTAGCAGGGATCTGAAGCAGATAGACATAAAAGGACATAAGGCACACTAGGAGCTATAAACTATCAGTATAGCTCTCCATAACCATATATGTGAGTGTGGGCAGGGGAGGGGGGCCAGTCTCCACCAGAATTGCTGTGGGTAAGAGGAAAGCTTCCAGGGCAGGAGTTGGGAATTAAGCATGGCGCTAGAACCCAGGGAACGTTACATGTTGAATAGGTTCCCTGAAGGAACAAGTGGAAGAAAGAAAGAGTTAGGAACTGGATGTCCCTGGATGTGCTGGGATATGCTTCTGCTAGAAACTTAGGGGACCTAGGGATTGAGACATGCCTGTGTGATGGAGAAAAAGGAAGTCACAGGGACACTTATTATTTACCACCTTGGTGACCAAACCATAAGAACTCCCATGAAAGCACAAGAGGTTGAGAGAGAGAGCAAAGAAGCATGAGGGCCCATGGGTGAGGGGCTCAAGGGACCACTGTCCCCAGCACAGGCAGCCAGAGCTCCTTCACAGTGGAGGGCAGTTCTTGGTTTGCACATGCACCTGGGAAAGGTTGGGTGGGTCTTCTGGCCCCTGCCAAGTGCAAGATGAGTTGGAACACCTGTGCTGCTTACCTTCTGAGTCCTTTAGAGTGAGGGTGGGAATTTTTTTTTTTTTTTTTTAAGCTGGGGCGGGGAGGGAAGGTCCACAAAATCAATGGTTGGTTTAACTTAATGATCCTCTGGCTGGAAGAGCTCAAAGAAGTATTTCTGGAAACAAAGTCAGGGTGGGGCAGTAATCAGAGCAGCAAGTCTGACTGGATCTTGCTTGGACGAAGCTGTTTGTTAAAGGGCAGGCCTATCACCTCCGCACATCTCAGGAGGACTGAAGCCAGGAGGACACCTGAACCTTAGGCTAGGCAGAGAAAAGGCACAAGGTGGGAGAGGAGCAAGTCTGATCAGCCAGGGAACAGAAATTTATGCTGATATTTTAATCACTTAATTTTTTTTTCTTATCATTTAAGTATTATTAGCCATAGAGTTTTCTAGAAGAGGAACAGGGAAAAAAAGGGTAGGATTCAGAGAAAGTGCTTCAATTCCATATTTTAATATAGATAAAAGTGTTTGGAAATAATTTTTGTGCAAAATCAATGGTCAGGTTTCACAAAACGGCACATTAAGGTAGTCCATAAAACCCTTTCAACACGTAACGTCCCTGAAGTGTAATTTCACTGGTGACAATTCAGCTGTGTTTGCCCTGCTGTCATAAGTCACTTCCTCAGGGAAATGTTTTCTGCATTTAAACTTCAGTTTAAATTCAACTTCATTCAACTTGGCTCTCAGGGCAGCCAGTCCCGTTCTGTGGGGCAGGGAGAAATGGAGTGAAAGACGTGAGGTAAGCTGTGCGGAGGGAATAGGGCAGGGTGAGCACAGGTGGCCCAGCCAACTCTAGAAAGAACATTGTCACTGTCCTGGTATCCTGGTTTTCATAAAAGGCCCAGGAGAAAGTAATCTGGAAATAAATCCCTACAAGCAAGGCTAAACTAGGTATAGATGGCCAATCATATCATAGATCTTAGAATAAGTTATTCTGAAAGGTGTATTTTAAATTTATACAGAAAGAACTTTACAAAGCCCTGTTGTTGAGGAATAGCAATGGTGATGGGTCAGGCAGGATAACAGGGCTTCTGCTTGCAGACTAGAGTAGAAGACCAGGACTTGGAGGCCTATAGGTAGCCATCTTTATTTTCTGGGAACCAAAGATCCCAGCAGAATGGATCAAAGGACACCAGGGGAGAAGCCTTAGAGTTAGAGCAGCACAGACCAAGCTTGGCCATCCTATTTGGATGTTGTCAGGAGACATTGTAGTCTTCGGGCTATTGGTATGTATGTGGGGCCTGGATGGCTGACAGGTGCTAGGTTACCAGCTCGACTCGGTTTGCCAGAGACAGACCCCCCCTGGGAAACCCCTAATCCTGGGCAACCTGGGATGGTGGGTTATTCTAACTTGTTTTCCAAGGGCCGGGTTTCCTCCACTGTGTTCGAGGTCTGGACAGATCTTGCCCTACCTTGGTAATTGCCCACCAATGAAAAGAAGGCTTTCTCAAAACAAGGATGGAAGTTAGAAAATTGAAACTTTGCTGTTTTGATTTTTATTCTCCAAATTCCCAAAGGTCTTGGTAAAGCAGCAACTGATTTTCAGCTCAAAGGCTTGAAACTGGAAGACTAGAACATACAGATATATTTCTTTCTTAGCCTGACAAATAACTTCCTTACCAATGTTTTTCTACAAATCAGTTTCCAAAGATTGAATTCTGATGTAGATTATTTTTAAATTTTTCCTTATTAAGCACTTGCGTTTCTCCCTGGTTAGGAAATTATATGCTGAATATCTACATCTGCTGGAACACTTCTCTGGGTGACACTACTTGCTTGTTAACATATTTGCTGCCTCCTCTGAAATACATAACCCTTTTTGATTGCCTCATTCTGATAATTTCACATTAGTCATTTTGTTACAAAATAAAACCAAGAAGAGAAAAGATATCATCTCTCCATATCACATAAGCAAAGATGGTCTTTATCAATCTCTGTCCAGATGTCTGGAATTAGGGAGCCCATGAGCTCAAAGGGGGTGTTCCCTACTACATAGTCATGAGTATGAATCAGTCTTTCTGTGGAAGACTAGAGTTTCAAGAAGATCAGAATATTCTGATGAAAAGACCCTGAGGCCCAGAAAGGAAAACTAACCTGCACAAGTCACACAGTAGTTATAGAAATAACCTGGCTCATGTTGGGAATAATCCCTCTGAATTTAGAAATGCCTAGCCAAGGACAAATCAATCTGTGTTGGATAAAGGGAATGGAGAGCAGAGAAGAGTGGAGTCTGAGAGTTAGGCTGATCAGGAAGTAGGCTGTTGAGACAGACCTTGATGGCACAGGTAGGGCTATTATCTTCTTAGGGATTCCTAAAGGCGTGGCAAGCTCTCTTGGGAAAAACTAGGTCTCTCCATACACTAGCCAACAAACAGTTCAGCTAGGCCACTGGTGACTGGCCTCTCCCAGGAGAGCAGGAAATGTTGCCACATGGTGTCCATCTGCAGGGACATTCTCTGCAAAACCACTGGGCTTCTGCACACCATTGCATTGTCATTGCTCACCGTCTTCCTTCCTCATCACCCCGCCGAGGTTTCCTGGGTTCTGTTTAGAGTGACCCAGCTCTACCATGGCAGCAGAGGTCCAGAGGCACACCCACAGTACAGTGCCATGTGTGGAGGGTGGATGGCCAGAGGACAGAGCAAGGTGGAATATCTGTCCAGGGTGTGACTCAGAGGGCAGGGGCATGATGGAAAAGTGATCACAGTTGCAACAGTAGGTCTCTACTTAAACCACACACAGACAATTTTCTGTATGATTCCTTAGCATCCTGAAGTTCTTTGCTTTTAATTTTTTTTTTTTTTTTTGGTGCTGGGGATTGAACCCAGGGGCAGGCACTTAATCACTGAGCCACATCCCTAGCCCTTTTTAATATTTTATTTAGAGACAGGGTCTCGCTGAGTTGCTTAGGGCCTCGTTAAGTTTGGCTTTGAACTTGGGATCCTCCTGACTCAGCCTCCTGAGCTGCTAGGATCACAGGCATGCGCCACCACACCCAGCTGAAATAATCCTTTTACTGAAAACACTGACTTCCCAGCTAAATTGAGGCTTTACTGAGCTTCTTAAGTGTGGGAAGTTAATTCAGGAGGAAAACGGTTTTTGCCTGTGCAGTGTGTGGTCCGGTGAGCGAGTGCAGAGCATCAGGCCTCTGGAAAGGCTGTTTCTTTGCTCTCTCAGAAGGGGACAAGTGGCCCATCTGAGGTCACAGCTGCTGGGCTTCTGCAGATGTCAGCCTCTGGATGCCTAAGAAAGCTGCTGTGAGGCAAGATGGAAAGACCTGGCCGTGCTGTAGCTTTCTTATCTTAGTCATTCCCACTGGCTTTAGAAAAAGGGTGAGAAACTTTATTGAAAGATGAGAAACACAGTTATACACTTTTGAGGATTTCTTGACCTAAATCCTATGCTTGGTAGAATTTTCACAATCCAGAGAAAGTAGATCTCAAGGGACTGGGGTCATGGCGCAGGGGTAGAGCCCCACACATGCGAGGCCCTGGGTTCGATCCTCAGCACCACACAAAAATCAATCAATCAATCAATCAATAAAAGTATAAAAGAAAGAAACTAGATCTCAAGTTCTGATCCTTCTCAGCAGCAATTCCACTCCTCCCAAAGTTCCTCTTCGGGTGCTGCTTCTCGATGCCTGAGTGTTGAGCAGGGACTAGCACCCCTCTCGACTCCACTGTGCTGTCAGAGACTTGTGCTGGGGCCAGCCCAAGTGTTTCTCGAAATCTCCTAAGACTCTAAATCATTGACTGAGCTAAATGGAACTGTGGAGATCTTCTTGCCCAAACCCTCCTAATACACAGAAGGAAACTGAAGTCCAGAGAGGTTAAGTGGAGCTCCCAAGGTCAACAGAATGTTGGTTTTTTGTTTTTTTTCCTTGTGCATCAGGACCCATGGGATCTGTAGTAACTATTCTCTTGACCAGTTATAATCCTTTCACTGGCATTGTTTTACAAGAAACAGCCCCAGTGGGCCCAGTCAGCAATAAGTCTTTGGAGCTGTCTCAGCCTGCAGTTGCTTTATATAAACTATCCCTTTTATGGGAGTTGAAGCACAGTATGAAAAGGGTTTTTGTTTCATGTTGACCTTGTTTAGTCACATTAACGCACACACCAGCTCCAGGCCCCATTCCATTCTCCGAACATCTTCGGACACGCCGATAGTGCTGAGCAGAGCAAGGTTGGGCTCAGTCCTCCAGTAGGACCTCTGCGCTCGCTCGGGAGGCCCTTGGTCCAGGGAGCAGCTGCTTCTCCCGGGCTGGGCTCTTCTCCCCGGAGGCCCAGCACTGCTCCACTGGAACCAGGGACACTGCCTGAGTCCAGACTGTGTCTGTTTTCCAGAAAACGGGCAATGCTGTGAGAGCCATTGGAAGACTGTCCTCTATGGCAATGATCTCAGGGCTCAGTGGCAGGAAATCCTCAACGGGATCACCAACCAGCCCGCTCAATGCAGAAAAACTAGAATCTGAAGGTAAGGAGCCTGGTAAAAATTCAAGAAGATTTTTTTTTTCCAGCCAGTTGGTGAGAAAGAAAGGGTTGGGGTAGAGGAGCATTTTGAATATTTGGGGTTTGGCTCTGTGTGTGTGTGTATGTGTGTGTGTGTTAATGTATCCTACAAGGATAAATTCAGGAGTACTTTTAGGTTTCCCTGACAACAATTACTAAATCTAGCGAGTATTCTTTAATTGTTTAACCATGTGTTTAACTATTTTCAGAGGAAAAGTTATTCTATGCCTACTAGAACTAGATGACCTCGGCTCTTCTTTTCCCTCTATTTTGCATAAAAATTAATAAGGACTTATTAAAAACTTCCCTTTTATTAAAAAATTGAGACATATATTGATAGGCAAAGATAAAATAAAAATCATATACAGTTGCCTAAATTTTTTAATATCCTTCCATTTTTCCATTGTCCTGTAGTCTTGTTTGGAACAAAAATTAACGTGTATAGTCTACATTCTCTGCCACTGTTCATGCTGCTGAAACAAGTTAGGCTGAGTGGGCTTTGGTCAGCAAGCCTCCTGGAGATGAGAGGTTAGCTCCTTGCCCACCATTTTTGGGGTGCTGTCCCACCCATCTCCTCAGCCAAGGCCTTGGCCTCTCCCTGCTTTGGGTGCACTCAGGGGCTGGCAGTTATCTTCCTGAACTGCCTCTTTTGGCCAGAGATGCCCCTCGATCCCATACTACCTGATGCTTTTGGTATCCACAGGTGAGACACTGAGTCTAGATTCCTTTTGTGCAGAGGCAGAGTAATTGGCGAGGCTGCTGCTTGCTGCTCTGGAGCTTCCTTGCAGCCAGCGACAGTCTGTAGCATGTGGGTCTGGTCTCTCCAGAGCCACTCCTGCCTCTCACTACACGTCTCAGACGAAGCCTGAAGAGACGAGAGTAGACACAGGAGCCCCTCCAAGTTCCATCTTTTCCCCTGGACCTATCCCATAATACCAGTCCACAGCCATACATCTTCGAGTCCACCTAAGCGTGGAACACAAAACTCGGGCAAGTTGACAGTGCCTCTAGAACCTGGTTCCTCCCTTCCAAGGAGCAGGTGAGCATCCTGCTGCAGTAGGAGGGCGAAGGATCCTTGAAATAGGAAGGCTGGAGAGGTTCTGTCCTTTTCAGACGCCCTCAACCCATCCTGACACAGCAGGAAATGCAGCCAAAACCCCTTTCTGAAGATGACTTCCTCTTTCAATGTATTGGCATCAGGGCGGGGAGAGGCTGAACATTTCCCTGTTTTGGGTACAGTTCTCACTGCTGCCAGAAACCATTTGGCAGAAGGCCAACCATCCCCAGGAGAAGTGCTTATGATTCACTTCGCTAAGCTGCATTATTTGCTAAATTCTAGCAAATTCTTTTTTTTTTTTTTAAGTCAGCCTTTTTAAATCAGGGGAGAAGAGAGAACAAGGAATAAAGAAATGACCAGCTTCTCTCCTTGTCTTCTAGAAGATGTCTCCCAGGCTTTCCTCGAAGCCGTTGCTGAGGAGAAGCCCCATGTAAAACCCTACTTCTCCAAGACCATTCGTGATCTTGAAGTTGTGGAGGGAAGTGCTGCTAGATTTGACTGCAAGATCGAAGGTAAACTGAAGCTCTGCTTCTCACACACTCCAGGGGTGGCCCAGAAGCAGCCTGTGTAACATGGCAGGGCTGTGCTGCAGCAGGAGGAACAGCCAGACTCTGAGGTGCACTGGATCAGGAGGAGCTGGTTCCAAAGGGCCACTCCCTCCACCCTGCCTCTTGAAGGGTAGTGCCCTTCAGTGACTTTCCCACGGGCCCAGCTGATATTTCACCTACTTACCCCAGCCACCAGGCTTATTGTGGGCCTTCCTGGCTGTGTAACATGCATAATGAAGTGAGCTTTGTGAACTGCTGAGAAGCCTGTGAATTGCCCCCAGAGGCACTGAAAGGGAGCTTGGCACAAAGGACAGAGAACTGGAGTTGGCAAGTTCTACTGCTTATTGACAGGCTCAGTGACAGTGGATGAGTCTGCTGGGTTTAGGCCCTTTATCTATAAATTGACATCTAACCCACAGTGGCCCTAGTAGTTCTGTGAGGTCCCATACATGAAAAGGGAAAATCTTTTGAGTCTTTAAAGTGGTCATGAAACAGTGCCAGGTGTGGTGGCACACACTTATAATCCCAACAATTTGGGAGGCTGAGGCAGGAAGATCACAAGTCCAAAGCCATCCTCAGCAGCATCCCTGGGTTCAAACCCCAGTACCAAGGAAAGAAGGAAGGAAGGATATTGTTGCCTCTGGGCATGGGGGTTTATGTGTGTAATCCCAGCTACTTGGGAGGCTGAGGCAGGAAAATCACAAATTCAAGGCCAACCTCAGCAATTTAGCAAGACCCTGGGGGAAAAAAAAAAAAAAAAAAAAAACAACCCTGGGTTTAATCCTCCGTACCAAAAAAGAAAAGAGGTCATGAAGTAAAGGGGAAAGTAGGGGCTTGGTAAGCTCAGAGGGAGAGCATGCAATGTGACTTGAAAGTAAGGGAAAGTTAGGACCCAAGGACCTTAAGGGATCTTGGCATGGTGCCTGAGAAATTAGCAGAGTTGATGACACAAAGCTGTTCTGTTTCCACAGATTGCAACATTCTAGAAATTCTAGGAGCAGGATAAGTCAGGCCTCTTTGCTTCAAGTCTGGGACTTTCACATGCCAACCAAAGTGAAGAGTTTTTTCCCCATTTTGTTCTGAGCACGTAAAGCACAAAAGTTTATTGAGCGATTTCCCCAAGGTCACACAGCACAGCGTGGCCTTCCGAACAAACCCTGTCTCCCATTCTGTGCAGCTTTCTATCACTGTGGCCATGATGCCTTTGAGTAAAATAACCCAGCCTTAGGAAGGAGAAACCAAATTTTCTCCTCACCTTTATATTATCTAGATGCCTTATAAATATTTTGTCTACCACAATTTTTCTCTTTTTTTCATCTGATTAAAAAAAAATGGGGCTGTGCTGCCTTTGGTAATATGAAGGTTCTCAGATGGGCTTCTGCTCAAAGCCAGAACCGCCGCCTATAACTCTCACCCTCACCATTGTCCTTGGTCTTCTGAGTTCTTTCCTTTTTAATTTAACATAGTGATGATCATCTTTTGTATGTAATCTCCTTAAGATTATCTCCTTATATTTGTATAACTTCTCACTGGTACTTGCAAGAGAAATTAAAGCATATGGATGTTGTTTGATAAAAAGAAAATTATACTTAAAAAGAATGTTAGAATTCTGTTAAGTTTCTTTCTTTCTTTTTTTTTTTTTTTTTGTACTAGGGTTTTCACTCAACCACTGAGCCACATCCCCAGCCCTTTTTATATAGAGACAGGGTCTCACTGAGTTGCTGAGGGCCTCACTGAGTTGCTGAGGCTGGCTTTGAACTCCTGTCCTCCTGCCTCATCGCCCCCTCCCCTAGCCACTAGGATTATAGCATGTGCCACCATGCCCATAAATTCTTAAATTCTTCTTTTTAATATTTATTTTTTAAGTGTAGATGGACACAACACAATGCCTTTATTTTTATATGATGCTGAGGCTTGAACCCGGGTCCCACCCGTGCTAGGAGAGCGCTCTACTGCTGAGCCACAATCCCAGCCCCAGCAATTCTTAAATTCTTGTGTCTAATTTTTATTCTAGCTTGGACCAAAATTTTTTCCTCTATAAACACTTCTCCAAAATAAATAAATAAAAATTTTAAAAATGCTTATCCAAATTTTAAGAGAAAGACAGTTGAAATATTATATATAGTATAGATTTAAATATATATCTATATATATTTATATCTATATAATTTATTTAAACCTATATATCTATATAATATGTTTAAACCTATACTATATATATAATATATGTATATATACATATATGCAATGTTGATGACACTCATGTATATATACACGCTCCACTTTAAAATATGTATTTATTTTATGTGTATGAATTATATTGTTTTGTGGGGGGCGGGTACTGGGTATTGAACCCAGGGATGCTTTACCACTAAGCTATATACATCCCCAATCCTTTTCAAAATTTTTATTTTAAGACAGGATCTCACTAATTTACCTACATTGTGATCCCCCTGCCTCATCCTGCTAAGTAGCTGGGATTTACATATGCACACCACTGTTCCTGGCTTATTTTATTTACTTTTTAATACTGAACTTCGTGGAAACATGACTAACATGAAACGAGGCCAACCAGTGAATTCATTTCCAGTTATCTGCAGGCACGTTACCTGCATCAGATTAAAACAAATATGCTTTTTTTTTTCTTAGCAATATCATCATTTCCTCTCATGTTTTATATAGCTGTTATCTGCTTGGTTGAGTTGTATTTTATGTACCATGAAAAATTCACCCATTTTAAGTGTACAACTCAATTATTTTTAGTAAAGTTTTCGTCACTCACCCATCAGCACAATTCAATTTTAGAATATTTCCAGCACCCCAAAAAGATCCCTTGTGCTCATTTATTCTGAATATTTTTAATTTAAAAGTTAAGCTTTTATATAAAAGAAGACAATGTATTTTCCTCCAAAAGATATTCAGCCCTAAGTGTGCAGTCAGAGTTGGAGCATTGTTTCAAGGAGGGCTGGTGAGGGCCCAGCACGGGTAGGAAATGGATACCCTTGAAATTACCTTATTTGGGGTTTCAGATCATAGTATTCATAACACATGGCCATGTGTCAATATAGATATCAAAACAGATGCGAAGAGCCAGCGTCAGAGTTTTTCCCTTGACCACCTTAATCAATAGAGAGTCGCTGGTATGAATCGATAAGAGACTTTGAATAGCAGACTCTGCAACCTGTGTTGTCTCCCTGTGATGCAGGATATCCAGACCCTGAGGTCGTCTGGTTCAAAGACGACCAGTCAATCAGGGAGTCCCGCCACTTCCAGATAGACTACGATGAGGATGGGAACTGCTCTCTGATTATTAGCGACGTCTGTGGGGATGACGACGCCAAGTACACCTGCAAGGCTGTCAACAGTCTTGGAGAAGCCACCTGCACAGCAGAGCTCATTGTGGAAACCATGGAGGAAGGAGAAGGGGAAGGGGAAGAGGAAGAAGAGGAAGAGTGAAACGAAGCCAGAGAGAAGGGGGTTCTAAGTCATTTTTAAAAGGACTGCTTCTCTAAAGCTCAAAAAACTCGAGATAGTAAAAGCACCTAGTGTGATAGATTTTTCTAGTTAGGCCATTTGGGGGTTGATTCTTTAGCAATAGCAGTTGATACCTAGCAGCATTATTGATGGGCATTAATTTGAATTAGCTGGCACCTTAAGATACTAGTGCAGCTAGATTTCATTTCAGGAAATCACCAGCAAAATGCCTGACCAGTTGATTTTGAGAGAAGGTAACCAAAAGAAATTTTTACCTGGACAAAATCATAAATTCCCCAACTGAACACACTCATGAAAATAAAGGCCACAAGGGCTTTGGGCCCGGATGCCACAGTTCAGCTCAGAGGGCACCTGGAGATGGAAGGCCTTGCCCCAGCCCCAGACTCCAGAGAACCGCAGCATTTCACTCTGAAAGCAGTTGAGCCATTTTAACTTACAAGGCACACTACTCCAAAGTATGCTGTAGATAGATGTTAGGCCGTTCCGTTTCCCTGTCCCTTTCAACCTATTTTTCTGAACCTGTACTTGTCATGAGTTTTGGCTCTAAGGACATATTAATTATGTTTCTTAGATTCTGAAGACAGGTCCCAGGCTCATGGATGACTCTGGCTTCCTTAGGAAAGGAAAATATCCTTTTCTTCTAAAATCAGTAGGAAATGTAAACTTATCCCATTCCACAAATGTCTAGCAATTTCTGACATTTGGATAAAAACCCGTGGAAAAAATAATTCTTGCTAATGTGCTTTTCTTATTCAATCAGGATTCAGATTTGTGCTATATTACAGAGTATCCAGCCTGCATGCGTGGTAAAGATGTTTGTGTCTCAATGTAGGAAAAACCAGTTTGCTGAAGTTAGTCAATTATTTATTGGGCACTATGAAACCAATTTCAATAGATGAACAACTGTAGAATTCCACGTACTTTGAAATCTTCTGCAAGATAGTCTTGAGTTTAATAATCTTCATTTTCAACACTCTCCAAAGAGCTTGGCCTACCTTACGGGTCCACTATATTTTCCTTCTCAAATGTGCATCAGTCATGCCTGGCCCCCAGCCTTGAAATATATTCTTAGACCTGATAAATGCACTCAGACTCGCATCTGTAGGAATTTTTAATTTTCTTTCACAACCTTGGCACTTAAGTTTTTGTCTTTATAAAACTTTCTGAAGGTCATAAACAAAGACCATAAACTGATGCTATACCCTAGTGCATTTCCTCTGTGTGTGTGTGTGTGTGTGTGTGTGTGTAACATTCCAAATACTCTTTTTTTTCTTTTCCACTGTTTATAAGGTGCAGCAATTTACTATTTCAAGGGACTTTTTAATAGTTTCTTTAGAACCAATTTTAAACTACTTCTGTGCAATTCTTCACAGTATCAGCATTAGAATTTTGATTTTCAGTCTTATTTTTTTCTTCTATTTTAGCTGCTTTTTGCTAGTTTCAAATTGCCAGTATTTTTCCTTTTTTTTTTTTTGCTTTTTTAAAGTTAGTTTTTTTTCCTTTATAACCACAGTATTGCCACAGTTTACTATAATAAAGGGGTTTTAATTTGATTTAGAGCATTCAAAGCGTTTTTCATCACTTTGTGTTTGAACTATAATCTGTGTGTGTGTATGTTTGTGTATGTGTGTGTGTGTGTTTTGTGTGGGTGCATGGGTGGTATATATGCGTGTTTTCAGGTTAATGCCTTCTTGGAATTGTGTTAATGTTCTCTTGTTTATGTGCCATCAGAATGGTAAATGAGAACACTACAACTGTAGTTAGACCACAATTTTTAAATAAAGGATATCACAGTACATGCTGTTTGTTCAATCTTTGCAAACTTCTCTCTCTTTCCTCCACGCTACCAATTGTAGAGTCCACAGGTAACATCCTGATAACTAAAACCAAACACTATCCCAAACATATGTGAAAAACTGACTTGTAGTGTTGTGTTTTACTAAGGAACAGAAGATACAGATATAAAAGATGTAAACACTTCTTGTTTATTCAGATGACCTAATTTAGTTCAAAGCTCTTCTCAAGTGTCAGTTTAGTGCCATTACACTCTAGAAGGAGTATATTTTATATAGTATCAGCACCTTGTAATGCTAAAATCTGTGTGATGTTTTTTACATGTGACAAAATCATCATCATCACTGATTTTATTTACCAGAGCATGGTTTGAGTTGGTGACATTAGACAAGTTCATTATTGGCAACCAAGTCTTTTTCTATGTCTCAATAATGAAGGGTGTGCTCAGGAAGCTGTCAGTCCTGCTGACAGGAAGTCCATTATTGGATATCAGCTAATAAGTCCCCCATGTCTTGGGCTATTCAAGTAATATTGTGACTATTCTAGAAAGAATTCAAGACATGTAGTTAAGTGTTGGAATGGATGATTCTGTGGTTCCATAGTCTACTCTGGAGAGAAGAAATTCATTGTCCAGTTAAGATTGAAAAGTTTTCATTTTTTTAGGGCAATCATGATCTACAAATTTTCTTGGTGAGGAATTTATAAAAGAGAAGGACTGTTTTTATTCCTTGCTAGCAAAAAATGTATGATACATATTCTGCACCAGAAAAATAACTAATACACTTTATTCCATTCATTTTCATCCCATCATTAAAATCCGTTGAATATTCCTTACATTGCAGATCTTCCCATCAAAAGATATGTCTATGCATACCTAGAAAGATATGCTGATTCTTGTCAGCTGACACTTTATATGAAGTCTCTTTTTACCAAAATGTTTGATATTTGCACTTTGTTTCCCATTTGATGAATGGATGAATTTGATGAATCTGTGCTAATGAGTTTGAAGGTGGTGATGGAAACTGAATTCTGAGGAAACACACTTCTCCAGTTAACACAAGCAGTACTGCTGTCCTTATCCCCTGGGGTCTCCTCTGTGTCTTGAGGGAGGATGGCTACTGTCTGTGGTAGGGGTTACTGAGGCTTTCTGCTGTCCTGGTTTTCTGAGTAGGTCAGGCTGGGTGAAGAGTTGGGTAGTGAGCTGGGAACAGAGTGTTAAGTGTCCTCTGGGCAAAAGCACTTAAGTGCTGGTGCAAGACTCTCCATAACAACAGGCCAAATGTGGGATGATGGCTGCTCTCTCCACCTGGGTCCCCAGCCAACCTAGAATTGCTCATAACCAGCAAGAAATAGACCTCAGTTCTTACAAACCACCAAAGGTTTTAGGGTACTTTGTGGCTGCAGCGTAACCCAGACTATCCTGAATCAAAGTTATCACCATATTCTAGATCTGTGAGGGCCAATGTGGTAACTAGTCACAAGTGGTTACTTCAGTTTAAATTAAATGAAATTGCAAGTTCAATTTCTGCCATACACACCTATAATTCCAGCTTCTTGGGAGACTGAGGCAGGAGGTTCACAATTCAAGACCAACCTCAGCAACTCAGCAAGATCCCATTCGAAAAATAAAAAGGGCTTGGTGTGTAGCTCGGTGATAGAGCATGTGCCTAGCATGTGCCAGGACTGGGGTTCAATCCCCTGTAACACACACACACACACACACTCTTCAATTCCTCAATTTCATGAACTATATTTCAAATGCTTAATAGTCACATGTGACTACTGGCTATTATGCTGTACATAATAGATTTGAACCTTCTCCAAAGTTCTGTTAGCAGTATTGTAGATGGACAATTAAAAGTTCTATCAGCTGGGGATGGGTTTGTGGCTCAGTGGTAGAGCACTTGTATCACTCATGAGAGACACTGGGTTTGAGCCTCAGCACCACATAAAAATAAGTAAATTAAGGTTTTGTGTTCATTTTTTTAAAAAGGAAGAAGAAGAAAAAGGGCAAAAAAAAAAAAGTTCTATCAGCAAAGTTCAAAGTTGCTAAGGTGGCCTTGAACTTGTAATCTTCCTGCCTCAGCCTCCTGAGTGGCTGGGATTATAGGCATGTGCCACCACACCCAGCTTCAGTTATTATTCTTAATTCATTTTTATATTCATATGAGATTTTTCATTTTTTAATATATTTTAAAGTACCACTTATATGCTTCTCACCTCAAAATCTAAATATTCCTGAAATTCACAAGCAATTACTAGACTACTTGTGATATGAGACCACCAGCAAGGCTAAAATTTTTCAATGTCTTTGGAACTTAGAGCAACTTGAGGTATAGGTGCATCCAAAGAGGACATATAAGACATATCTCTTCTACAGAGAAGGAGAAAATCAGGGGCAGAATTTCCACCACAGTGATCCAAAAGGAAAAGGGAGAAGCCATCTTGATAGTCACTTAATCACAGCTGGCTTTGACCAGGACCCCTTCCCATTAGAACAGGTGTATGGTGCTTGGGGTCAACATTAAATTTCCAACACTGGGCGGACCCAATGATGCACTACTTGGGAGGCTGAGGCAGGAAGATCACAAGTTCAAGGCCAGCCTGGGAAAGTTAGTGAGACCTTGTCTCAAAATAAAAATAAATAAATAAAAAGAGCTGGGGTCAAGCACCCTTGGATTTAATCCCCAGTGCTGACAGAATGAATTTCTAACTGATGGTTTTAAATTTTAACCCAGAGGTCTTATCTGTGAGCCAAATGCTCTCACACTACAGGAAGGACTTCAGGTCAGAGATTATAGCCCCAAGAGTCTTTGTTTGAGGTCTATGATAAATTTTCACAAGACATTATTTGACTCTTGGACTAGATTTCTCCTTAGTTGGAGATAACTAAGGAAGAAGGAAGTTACAAATTAACCTAAGTCAATTTGGTCATTCACATTATTAACATTTTTACATTATTAACATTATTCACATTTATTAACATTTTACAGGCCTCCTGTAGTAGAGAGATAGATTGAGCTATAAGAGCTTCTTCCATAACCTTGCCCCAGAGTGTATGTTACAGTGAAAAATATCCTCAGAGCAAATTTGTCAAAGATTTGTTAGAAAATAATCATACAACCAATTCTGCAAGGTCCATGAAGTCCCAGTTCGGTCTCTCTAGAAAGCACTGAAGGCAGATACTGCAGTAGCCTGGGGTAGGATCATGCTAACCTGGTTAATCAGCCAACTGGAACCAGTACCTCTTGAAACTATCCTTAGAACTAACTATTCTGATTTAACCAGTTTTATTCCCATCTGTAAAATACCTTGTTACCTCTTACTATAGCTAGTGTGACTTGTGCCTCAGCTTCTTCATCTATAACAGAGATGAACATAGTGGTTGCTCATCTGCAGGTTGATACAGAGGTAAACTGAGCTTATGCACAGCACCTGAGTCTATGGTAAGCCCCTCTTCTGACATTCAGAGATGCTAACGTATCAGAAACAGACTCTACCCTCAAGGAACTAATTATACTCCTGCAGAAATAAATATGTGATAAAAATTATGCACTATGAAATAGTAGAATAATTAAGTTCTACCCACCCAAATCTTGGAAGTACCAATGCATTTGTACAAAAAACAATTGTTGTGAGTTTAGGAAATGCAACATCTGCCCCTTGTTCTAGGGCAAAGTTTTAATTCGAAGTCCCTACACATTGTCCTTCTTAACAAAAGAGAAAAGCTCATCTGACCTAATTAGTCTTATTTTCCAATCAATAGGAAATTTCTCAGCTTAACTGTAAGATTAGCTTTAATTGCACTTAACCTTTATGCCAAAGAGTTTCCCAAGTCTTAACTGATATTTACAAAAGCTAATTCACACTGGCTCTTTCCTGTCAGTATATTAACCACAGAACAAAGGGGCTCTGTGAAGCAGTCCTAGGAAAAGACTGAGTGGGTATCTTTTTCCAATTGCTCAAAACTGAGGCTCCTATTTTCTGGGGAACAAGGAGATCAAAGGTTTAGGAATCAGAAATCGACAATACAGAGATGTCCAAACATGAGCTACTGAAGATAAGCAGGATTCTGTATTCCTTGGAGCCTCCATTATATTGATAGTAATTTTTTAAAGATCATTAGACCTCTCAGATGTGAAGACAAATATGGGAAATGACAGGTGTAAAACATCAGAATTTTGGAAGATAGAAAACAAGGAGTGGGAAACTAAGTCAAAGCAGAGAAGCTACAACTAACTTCCTGCAGAGGAAGAAACAGAGAGGAAGACACATTGGGTCTGTCCTGAAGAATTTGCAAATGGTAGACTGGAGGAACCAAGTGTCTGTGAAAGGGCAAAGATATTAACTCACAGGTGCAAACCAAGGTCTCCAAAGTCAGAGGCAAAAGTCTGATGAGGAGATGAAGGCAGAGGAAGGGATTACTAGAAGTTGGACAGACAAGATCTAGAATCCAGGGTGGACATTCTGAACATATCACAAGTACCCATGTCACAGGGCAGAAAAGAGTCTGGTCCTAGATAGGCATCCACTTGCTCAGAGCATTTTAGACATATTCACATCTTTAAAGTTTAAGTTAGTTGTCCAAGAAGCCAGTAACACACCCTATTGATGAATGTCATGCTCATTTATTTAAAATAGCTCAGGCCAAGTATGGTGGTGCACACCTGTAATCCCAGTAACTCAGGAGGCTGAGGCAGAAGGATTGTAATTTTGAGGCCAGCCTCAGCAATTTACCAAGACTCTAAGCAACTCTGCAAGACCCTATCTCAAAAAAAGAAAAAACAGGGCTGGGGTTGTTGCTCAATGGTAGAATGCTTGCCTAGCACACACGAGGCACTGGGTTCGATCCTCAGCAACACATATAAATAAATTAAATAAAGGTATTATGACTATCTACAACTAAAATTTATTTAAAAAAAGAAAAAGGGTTGGGGAAGTGGCTCAGTAGTTCAGTCCCCAGTACCAAAAAATACAATAAAGTAGCTCAGTTAACTAATTC